TTATATTCTAAATTAGTTGTATAGTGTTTGTTTGAGTGGATGTACTATTTATTGTATTGTCTTAGTATTATTTTTTTTTTTTTATTGATACTGGGAATCCATGGTTGTACACAGAGTAGATCGTCGGCAGTGTCAGATGTGGATAAGAGACAAGGATAATATAAGAGTAATAGGTAGTTAAGGAGAGGGATGATAGGAAAGAGAGAGAATAATGTAAGAAGAGAAGAAGGAGGATTAAGGTTAATTTATAAAGCTTAACTATTCCATCCTCTAGAGGATACTTTAACTAAATCTCCCGGACTATTATCTCGTAGTCCGAGAGATAGTACTCTACTTAAGAGAGGTCTATTCTCTTAAGGACGCTTTAACTAGAACTCTTAGACGATATCTTATAGTACGAGAGATTAGACTTACCTTAAGAGAGGTCTATCCTCTAGAAGACGCTTTTAGTTGTAGAGATATTTAATTTATAATTTATAATAACTAATAGTAGCTAATATTAAGAATAGATCCTATATTCTAGAGGACGCTCTTAATTATAGTAAGTAAAGCTACGACCGACGGGAGGTTCTCTCCTATATAGTTATTTCTAGGAAATTTCTAGCCCTAACCTAATATCCCTAGGCCGTTTTTTCCCTATAGTATACTATAGAGTTAATAGTGATAGATAATTAGTCTATAGATAGAGATATTAACGCTTAAAGAAGGCTTTAAGGTTAATATGTATAACCCCTCTTACTGTATATATACGGTAAGCTAGCTACTTAACTAGTGGCCTGAGCTAAGTCTCTAGTATCACGTAGGTGTTCGTGACACTTTACTAGTGACTGCTAAATAGGCCCTTGGAAAGATAGATTTAATAAGACTTTCACAATTTTATGACCCATAAGGATCCTCATAACCTTTCTAACAGGCTCGTTACACGAAATGAGCTAGTTTAAAGAAGTCCCGGAAGAAGTTGAGGACGTTCGCATTTGGCTCAATGAAACAGCTCATATAGTAGACGGACAATGCCACCTTTACTCCGATGGCTAAAGAGCCATATTGCCGACTCGGAAAACCTTGCCGTGGGAACTTAGTTCGATGTGAATGCCCCGTCCTACGCCCCACTGCCTTCACGGAGCTGAGCGCGGGACAATAGTGAGAGTTTTGCGCGCCACGGGCATTGACGGACAGCACGCCCTCGCTACACACGGCTAGCGCGGCTCTCACCCGGGTTGGTGGAGTGCTATCACTAGTTGGTCCCCTGTTTCCCCCCACGATATGCAAGCATTGTGAATCTCGATCCGGAAACCAATTCCGTGTTCGCCGTGTTGGGATACACTACTCACTCCTACGGATTGTATATGAAGGTCAGGTGGTATCCTGGCATGCACCGCCCGAATAAGAATTCTTCGCGTAGCTCGCCGCGTCTGTCACCAAAAAGTAGCTGAACCACCTCGCCGCCATGAGCAACGAACGAGCCAGTAGCCCATCTCCCGATGCTGACAAGTTTCAGAACGAAGCAGTGATCTTGGAGGATGTACCGTCTGATGGAGCCCCACGCAAAGACCTGGATGTTGCGGCCCAATTCCTGGCCACGTTGGACACTTCTGTCGCCCAGGATCCCGTCTCACCTCAAGAGGAACGCCGTGTACTTTGGAAGATTGACCTGACGATTTTACCGCTGATCCTGGTTACCGTTGTCCTTGCGGCCATTGACAAAGTCATCATCTCCAATGCGGCAATCTACGGCATGTCGGAAGATACCAATTTGGAGGGAAATCAGTTCTCCTGGGTCGGCTCGCTCTTCTACTTTGGCTACCTGGTGGCCGAGTACCCTGCGGCCATCCTCATCCAGCGCCTTCCCCTCGGAAAGTTCTTCGCCATCACCATCATGGGGTGGGCGGTCATGATGTTGTGCACTGCTGCCACCAACAGTTTCGGTTCCTTGGCCGCCGTCCGATTCCTCATGGGCATGATGGAGGCCTTTGTCTTCCCCGTGTCAAGCATCATGACGGTCATGTGGTGGCGAAAGAAGGAGCAGCCAATTCGCGTGGCATTCTGGTTCAATTCGGTAAGTCTCGACTCCCCGTCCTCTCAGTCTCTAGAATTGGTCGCGAGCTAACAAAAGTCGGCAGCTTTCGACCGTCTTTTCTGGGATTGTGAGTTACGGCATCGGCCATACGAACACAGCTCTGCATCCCTGGCGCCTGTTGTTCCTCGTCCTGGGCGGGTTTTCCGTCCTTTGGGCCATCGTCATCTTCATTTTTCTGCCCAGCTCACCCGTCGATTGTTGGTATCTCAGTGAGCGGGAGAAGTATGTGTGCCTCTACCGCGTGAGGGAGAACAATACCGGGGTGGAGGATAAGAAGGTGAAATGGTACCAGGTTCGTGAATGTTTGACGGACCCCAAGACCTGGCTGTTGGCCATATTTGCGATTGCGCAGAACATCCCGAATTCGGGTATTGTCACTTTTGCGGCGATTATCGTGCGGGGGATGGGCTACTCGCCCATCAAGACGGTGGTCATTGGGATTCCCACAGGAATCATTGCCACAGTCTGGCAGATTCTTCTGTCAATCATTCAGTCCTACCTGCCCAACACCCGATGCGCTTTCATTGCTGGGGGAGATATGGTCACTCTGGCATCCGCCGTCATGTTATGGAAGTTTGACAGTGACAACCGGAGTGGACTCCTGGGTGCCTACTACTTATTCTACACGTATTGGGCGCCGTACGTGCTAGCAACCTCCCTCCCCATGGCCAATACGTCCGGTCACTCCAAGAAACTCACCATGAATGCTGTCTTCTTTATCTCTTATTGTGTTGGATGCATCTTGGGACCACAGACATTCCGCTCGAACGATGCGCCCACATATTCTCGTGGATTTGAAGGCCAGATGGCGTGCTTTGTCGTGGCAATCGCCGCCATCTCTGCGTATGGGTTCCTATGCTATTTGGAAAACAAGAGGAGGGACCGTCAAGAGCTAGGGACAGCATCGGTCTCGGACTCCAATTTGACCCAAACCTCGTTTTCTGATCTCACAGATTTCGAGAAGAAGGAATTCCGGTATACCTATTGAGGCTCTCGGACCGCAGATCTCTGGTCGCGTCAAAGTGAACGGCGTGGGGAAAATCCTTCCGGGCGGCCACAATGATATTAATGGCTAAGCCTCAAGGAGGGCCTTCATCACATCTTTTGGGGTACGCTTTGGTGCCGCTATCTTTGTAACCCCTGGACTGGTCGTGGACGCGGTACATTTGCCCTCCCATGCGGTTACCAGAGCATACTTGATCGTTGAAATAACGCTCTTACTCTCTCCGGAGTTGCTAGCCATGTCATCAACGAAGGTTATATCCTTAAAGCTTACATCCTTGACCGGCACTCCAATGTACTTCTCGATCATTTCGACAATTTGATTTCCAGTGATATCTTCAGGGCCGTTGAGATTGTATTTCAAGCCATTATGAGGACTTACATCTTCCGTGACCAGGAGATGTGCGGCGAAGTCTCCGACGTCATCTGGGTGGATGACTCCGACCGGTGCGTCACGAGATGCCATAACGCGTAGCGTACTTTGTTGGCCAGTCTTTTGGTAATTCTTGATCAACTCTGCCGCATTCCAAAGCCAGAAAGTGGCGAATACATTAGGCTGCAGCGAAGTCCATTTTAGGCCCTTGAATTCTGGTGAGCTTAATAGAGCCTCAATAGCCCAATGTGATCGTGGATAGTATGCGTCGCAGTTCGGGCGAACATTTGCAGCGGTCGTCGATATTCGAACGATATAGTCCAGACCTGCTTTCAGAGCGGCCAAGTGAAACGTAGATTCCTCAGCGAACTGGTTTGGTTGGTTATGAGGCGCAATGAAAGCTCTCACGATGTGATGCTGACAGAGCCAGTCGGCCGTGATATCCACCCAGTTAAACTCAACCACGTCAACTGCCGGGAGCTTGCTGAATTGTTGTGCTGTAGGGCTTTTCGCTGACCGTGTCAGGGCCATTATGCGGTGATCAGAAAAAACATCGCTCTTTTGAATCAGTTTCGACAGCGTTTCGACAACACTTCTCCCTGTGTTGCCCGTCGCACCAGCGATGAGAAATGTCGGCGCCATGCCCAGCACTGTAAATAGTGTAGTACCTCAGTCAAACTAAGAGTGAGTGAGCTGTAATCTATCGAAAGATCCTGGCATATAGCTCTTATATTAAAGTATTGTATGTGATCGCATACATTCTAATCTCACGCACATTTATATTCAGACTTTTAGATCGTAGAAAGGGCTGGTGGAGGAGAATCAGATTAGTAGGCATAATTTTATTCAAGCTCAAGCTGACTAAATACTTCCTGTATTAGTATAGTATAAATAATGACCCACTACAGTAGAGCTAGTTCCTCAACACGGGCATCCAGTGCACAGGCCGGCACTTCCGTATGACTGATGACTTATTATGCCCGCATCCGCCTAGCTAGTAGCCCTACCAAGACTAAATCCACTTAATTACAAATAGTAATCCTCGATGTAGAATACTATCGCTATCTAGGTTACTTTCTAGGCTTAACGTCTAAATCACGTCACTAAATTATATTCTATCACCCCCTTGGGTGTCGAGCATAATTATTGAGATTAGTCATTTACGAAGAGTGAGCTGAAAATCAACGACGAACACTTTAGTAAAGCCGGGATTTATCAGGACACATGCTTTAAAGAGGAGTAAGGTACAAGTGACTAGCATCGCTAGTCAGGCTCTCAGTACAGGACTAACGATAAGCAAACACAGTGCGTAACGGCAGTACTATAGAATATGATCTATGCCGCTGTCCAGAAACATCCCGGAGAGTGGATCAACACTGGAACCATTATACTTCTAAAGAACTTACATACGGTCCAGCTCCAATCAATCCCAGGGCGAATTTATAAATGCGACGAGAGCGCCATCAACAAACCTGGGGTGGCCTATTTGGGAAATAGAATGCCACTCCGTTTGTGGCACCAAATTGGTGGCGGACATGATCTTCTGGACCGGACGGGAGTGTCCATATCAGCCCGACCGGAGCTATAACAGGTCGACGGAGACAGACGACGTAAGATAATTTGCATTAACGATCGTCAGGATCAAAGCAACGCTTGAACAAATTCCGATCTATTGAATACTGATGGACCTTCTCTTACAACCAAAGTGAGGCAGCGCAGTCAATCTACGTGAATGTGTAGTTTTCCGCCCGTAAGTTTTGGTCGTTTATGGATACTAAGGCGTGTAAAGGCGTTTAAACCAGCCTCTAGGTCCTGAGCATTCGCATCGGCAACAGCCCTCATGGAAAGTTTCATGATGCTCGTAGATTTCTAACCTCAATCTGTCTTATACCAACGTGCGAGAGCTGGTGAAACTTCCAGGTCTCAATACCACGCTTTCCTTTCGCAACCAGCGGGGTATGGGTGCGTCTTGGCGGGGTTCGCAGCAGGCGGGGATTGGTCCAAGTGGAGGAGGAACTGGAGACCCCACAATGATAGGTGACGTCTACATTGCGTGAATCATGACCAGCCGCCAGTATAGTGTATGTCAAGAATAGTGACTACGTCGAGGAAGGGGGCAGTCAGCAGTAGATTGTTCCCCACCAACACGCTACATCAATTCAGTCAATTGAATCTATCACGCTCGAAATGAAAGCAGAGTCGCTACTGGGGAGAGCTAGCTCATTGTGGACGTCGAAACAACTGAACTCGCCCGACTCGATAATTGCATGGTGTGACGCACCTGTTATTAGAACGTCCGTCGTGACGCATACGGTATTACTCAATGTGCTGGGCGACACTTGACTAATCACTGAATGGGCTAGAAATGCACTTTTGCCAAAGGACACGTTGCTTAACAGTCATCTAGAAGTCGAAAGAACTGATCGTCGGGAAATCCTGCTGTAGATCTGTCATCTCACCAAGCGCCAGCCCATTATATAGCTTCTGGATTGAACACCCCAGTCTCGAAAAGCATATTGGTATCAATCTCATCGAACATCTTACACGGCAAACTATCACACCTCCAAGACATACAAAAGAAACAGACAGCCTAGTAAATATGGGTGCCATTTTCATTGCCAACTACCCCCGTCCTGCGGACAACAACTACAAGTTTGACATGGACTATTACCTCAAAGTACACATGCCTCTGCAGTTGAAGCATCACAAACCCTACGGCATGCGATCTTATCACGTTATTCAGCCCGAAAAAGAAACTCCATACGGCACCAGTCCCTACGTCGTGCAAACTATCGAGTTCTGGGACAGCGTCGAAGGATTTTTCAAGGCGCTGAAAGAGGCTAGCCAGGAACCGAGCGACGACATCCCCAAGTATACTGACATCAAAGCTCCCTTCCCGATCATTGGCGAGATCAAAGGTTCCTGGGTCGATAGCACCTTCGAGCTAAAACACTAAGTCCAGGGCGTCGCAACCGGCGTGAAGCCCAAGTCTGTGGGTCCCAACGTTCTTTTGAGGAGCATACACTGAAATTCATGTGAGCGGCTGAACTGGTTGGTGTGAATATGTATACAGCCGGAAGAGTCAGAAAGACCCATGGATAGCTAGCTACACGAAGACAATTCTTTCACTATCATACGATCTGAATTAGGTTGCCCTCCGTGCTGTGGATTCAGCCACACCGCTCTCTCGTTTTCGATCAAACAAGACCGAGAATTATATTGTACCCCCTCCGTGAAATATAGTCCCCAAGATATCGATCACCCTATGGTCTAGACTCTGCACACCTACATTTTGCAATTGCGAGGACTTTTGTGAATAATGAAGTGACTACGAGATGCTAATGGTCAAACGAAAACTACTCAGAGGTGAAGCAGTTTCGTGGTGCTATAATTCCGCTGGAAGCTGGCACCATTCGCGTCCTAGAAAGTAGCTGTCGGCCAGGTGGCATCGTGTGATATCCGAAGTCTTTCACGGGCACATCGTGAAGTTCGAGTGAACATGTGACCCTGGTCTACGGTACGGCAAGTCAATACTCGTTGTATCATCGACACTAGTTACCCTGTGACGTTCGTTAATTATTGATAGGTTAGGTGGTCGGCCGGAGTCTTGACTAATTAACGATGACACACTGCAGTTCGACGGATGTGCTCAACTTGTAATGAGCCATGACTTGGTCCGCTGCGGAGTGATGGAATACGGTATATAGTCTGAAAAGTGTTCTTTACGTTCTCCGACGCTCTGTCCATCCGTGTGAACATTGCGGAATAGCAAGCCTGAATATTCAATCTTTCGAGATGTCTACCGAGACTTCCACTGTATCAGTCGTCTCCGACGCTTTGGCAGACGTTGCCCCTCCGCCAGAAGCTCAGATACCTCCGGATTGGCGCGAGATGGTTGTTGATTTTGACCAAATGACCGCCAAGTACAACGAAGAGAGAATCAAGCGCCTCCAGAAGGCTGGTATAGAGCAATATCAACATGTGGCGACGTCCAAAGTCAGCGTGCTTCCGGAGATGGTGAATGATCCATTTGCCAAAGAAATCGTACGTGACCCTGTGATAGAAGAGCACGATATTACGATCATCGGTGGTGGTGTGGGTGGTGTCATCATGGCTTGCCGTCTTGTCAAAGCCGGGTTCCAAAATATCAAGATTGTGGAAAAGGCTGGGGATTTCGGAGGAGTGTGGTGAGTGTCCTCCACGGTTGCACCTTATAAACACATCCGCGCTCATAACACATTCTAGGTATTGGAATCGTTACCCAGGCATACAGATTGACATTGAATCTTACATCTACATGCCTATGCTTGAGGACACTGGATACGTCCCAAAACGAAAATACTCTTACGGAAAAGAAATCTACGAGTATCTTTGCTTGCTCGCTCGACAATTCGGCTTGTATGATAAGGTCTTGTTTCAGACAGGCTGTCGTGAAGTACGGTGGGACGAGGCAACCTTACGATGGAACATGACGACTACGAGAGGTGACCTCCTCTCGTCTAAATTCCTCGTTTCATCATGTGGACCATTCGACAATCCCAAATTTCCCGGCATCCCTGGAATCGAGACTTTCAAAGGGAAGCAGATGCACACCAGCCGCTGGGATTACGATTACTCTGGGGGTGACACGGAAGGAAATTTGACCAAGCTGGTCGATAAGCGCGTGGGCATCATTGGAACTGGCGCCACAGGCATCCAGGTTACTCCCCATCTCGGCAGGTGGTCGAAGGAACTCTATGTTTTCCAACGCACGCCAGCGTCGGTCGATATCCGCAATAACCGACTCACAGATAAAGAAACTTTCTCTAAACAACAACCTGGTTGGCAACGCGAGCGTATGGACAACTTTGCCCTCATATGTACAGGCAAAAAGGTAGAAAAGGACCTTGTCAATGACGGATGGACTTCGGCTCTACAAATCCTATCTGGCTGGTTTGGCCAAAGCAAGACAGGCTATACCGAGTCCCTGACTCCCGAAGAAACAGCCAGGGCTATGCAACTAGCCGATTACAAGAAGATGGAGTCGCTTCGCAAACGCGTGGAGCAGATTGTGAAAGACCCAAAGACGGCCGAGGCTCTCAAGCCTTATTTCAACCAATTTTGTAAGCGACCATGTTTCCATGACGAGTACCTCCCAACATTCAACCGACCGAATGTCACCCTGGTGGACACTCAAGGTCATGGCGTGGACCGCATCACGGAGAAGGGTATCGTGGCGAATGGAAAGGAGTATGAACTCGACTGCATTGTCTACGCTACCGGATTTGAGTATAATACCGACTGGAAACTCCGTCATAACCTCAACATCTACGGTGTTAATGGCCAAGGTTTCTCAGAGAAATGGTCCGACGGCCCTCTTACCCTTCACGGATGGGCAACTAACGGCTTCCCTAATCTCTTCATTGTGAACTCTGCACAGAACTCTGGCTTCCCTAACTATCATCACAGCCTTGATGACCAGGCTTCCCACCTTGTCTACGTTATGACTAAGGCGAGGAATGAAAAGATCGAACGCTTTGAGGTTACTGCCGAAGCTGAACAGGCGTGGATGGAGGAGATTTACAGAAGAAGCAAGGATCGTACCGAGTATCTTCTGTCTTGCACGCCTGGCTACTACAACGATGAAGGTGCAGTTGGGAAGAAGACTGCTCGGAACAATCCATATGGTGGAAATCCCATGGATTTTCTGAGCATCACCCGCAGCTGGAGGTCTGCCGGCGGTTTCCCAGGTCTGAGTGTTCGGTATGCTTTGGCAGCTTGAACAGATAGTGGCCATGCAGCTATGTAAGCAGTTTTGTGCATATCGCTAGACTGTTGTATCTCCTAAACTGAACAGACCAGACACCCATGTCTTCGAGTACTACTAAAAACTGCACGAGAGCTTGAACTTCAAGACCACAAGAATCTAATTTTTTCTTATAAATGAAATTCATTATTATTTTTGTTCCTAATCAAGATGTCTTCATAGATAACTGACTTCTGCAAACAGTGACCGAGAGGCCTCGAGGGAATACATGACACCTTGTTCCTGGAGGGACTTTCAGACCTCATCAAAGATTCCATGGTGTGTTTCATCTCCACAATGTTCATCTCACTCTGGGATTCAAGCTTATGACCCGGGAATTGTGTTGTTGTTTCCGCGGATCGCTCTGGGCGTGGCGATGGAGGGATTCAAGTTCTTCACTTAGCGTCGGCTTAACATGTCATGATTGAGGATGGGAAAAACAAATATCACCTTGAGACACGGCGCCGGCATTTCTCAGACCTTCAGGACAACGATTCTGACAGCTTATTCCGACATCATCATTGCGAACGCGCCAGTTCATCCCACGGACTGCGGCAATGGTTTCGTCTGCGTGACATCTACTCCAACGACAGTGAGGATGCTGAGCAGCGAGTCGTCATTTCAGAAGAGATCTTTAGGGATCAAAGCCTCAAGTGCACGACCAGGTAGAGAGCTGAATGCAGCAGTGGCCAACAGGATCGATGCCGAGTGCATGCGTTAAAAGGAAGGCTTGCCAGATTCGTCACATCTACCTCTCCGTCACGGATCATCAGGATGCTGGGCTCAACCGCTACAATTAGATCCCCGAGCCGTCCATCCCAGAGGTGAGTTCATGAGATAATTACAGGGCCTTGCAATCAATCAACACTGCCGCCAACATGGAGCTAGAAAGCAGCCGCATCCGGATGAGAAATACGACCAATCTGTGAGAGATCCCTCGCATTGCCTGCGCCGGATCAATTTCGTTGCAGAATCGTGGTCTTTCGAGACGAGAGAAGACGTTGGACTGGATCAATTTTGTTCCCGTGCCGCGGTAGGCTACTTTGGACAAGAGCGCTTGACCTCATTTACTGTCTTGGTCAGAAGAAGCCCATGTTCTCCAAATATGCGGGCACAATCAGAACATACAAGATGCGAAGCTAGGCAAAGATAGTCCCCTTACGGTCATGAACTTGGCAGGAGGTGCGCCCATCGAGAAAAGAGTATCAGAAGCAAGCAGCTGCATTGCGTATCAAGGCTGAACATTGCTTTGTCAGGCTACCAGACTGCTACATGACTAGGAACGGATTATTGATCGAGTCACTAAGTCGCCTGACTAAACTTGCCTTATCTTTACCTTTGGTGATGATCAACCTGCGTTCCGTACTTCGATATCAAGTCTCCATGGGCCTATTCACCGCCAACCCATAGTCTTGCACTGTACATGTTCCACTGAGGATGGCTTTCATTAGGCGTTCTCAACAAATCAATTGTCTCGGAAGTGATAGACTGACGTTTCACCCGATGACCAGGTCTATAGTGATTTCTGCTGCTCGGCTACATATCAAATTGCCTCCCCCTCTGTTGCCCAAACTGTAGAACCGCATCAGCATTTCCGCCTTCTCTATACTTCCCACCAGCGGTATATTCTGACGCCTTGTTAACAAAGGGAAGCGCTGGTCTGAGGACGATCTCTGCTCCACTGCACTCAATGGCTTGTCCAGTCAATGAGTCGTCCTTGAGGATCATCTCCACTGCATCTACGATCAATGAAGCGGGTGTCTTATACTGTAATGGAACGCTCTGTACAATCTCTCCGCTCAGAATGCCGGTCGCCACCATCCCTGGCAGAATGGCATTGACGGTGATCGGTTCTCCTTGTTCCTTCATCCGTTTACCGAGGCCACGGGCAAGGCCGATGATCTAGTAGGGTCAGGAAACCAACTTCGTCCATGATCCAGGGAGGTCGTTCGTACTTACGCCATGCTTAGCAGCAGCATAAAGGGGAATCTCGGAGCACGCATAAATGCCTGCAGAGCTTGAAGTCATTGCCAGCTTGCCGGCTTTGGAAGCATTCTTGCGAAAATAGTGAAGAGCTAGATACGTGGACCATACGACGCCGTACAAGTCGACGTCAATGACCAACACATCGGGCCGAGGTGGGCCATCGTCGCCAGACGCCTCAGAAGGTGCACAGAAATCTTCTCGGTCCAGAATACCCTGCTCCACAAAATTACCATGGTTAACTCATGGACAGTAGGGTACGTTTTACTGCATTAGCAAAGACTGTGCACACGGTCATTTTTTTGTAATACTCTTGCTTGGATATCTATTACTGACCGAAGTCTATCCGACCCCATCTCTTGTAGGTCTGGGAGAACACATCAGCCTGCGCTTCGTACGACGCAACGTTGGCCTGGTGGAAGAACGTCTGCTCGCCGAGGCACTTTGCAATGTCTGCTCCAGCACCGTTGAAATCAATAATGGACACGTTCCAGCCAAGCTCAACCAGACGCTCTACCGTAGCGAGTCCTATGCCGGAAGCTGTCACAGCCGATTAGTCATACGTTCGGAAAGGAAGCGAGCTTGATCCTCGTACCGCCCCCAGTAATAATGGCGACTGGTGAATTTGTAGCCATGGCACAACATAGGTTATCAAGATGCCGCGACTCAGCAATGATCTTTTGCAGCGCGATACGAGTATATATCTGACTCAATCATGCTATGGCGAGGACCAGGGGATATGTGCTTGAGTAATTATGAGTGAGTAAGCTTATACCGGGAGCCGAGCGGAAATTTTGATACCTACATTGGCCAGTCCATAACCGTGTAATTTAGGACATGCCGCTCGTCCGCTAGCAACACAGCGAGCCCCCTGCAGATTATTCAATCGTCACTCCAGGTAAGGTTGTCAGACGGGTACTACTGACCCACGTTCAGAGGGCCTCTTATACCATCTTACATGTGTCATTGATGGACCGTAAATCAAAGAGCTAGTGAATTCCTGAGATGAAATGGCTGTGGGGAACACGTGAACGTGCCACATCATTTGGAGCGCAGAGTCATTCTCCGGGAAATGGCTCTGACACATCAACCATTACTCAGGGGTTGCAAGACTTCAAAACAAGAAGAGAGGCAGCAGCGCCGTACCAGGCTTCGAGCGTGGGCTCACTGTTGATCTGGACTGGTGTCGTACAGATCGTTGTATTCTGATGCTGTCCCGCATCTGCTATCTCCTCGCCAGCAATCCTCTGAATATGGGAGTCTCTCCCGCCCTTTCTCCATCCCTGACCTCTTGTCCTCACCCGCTGTGCGGAGCGTGGCACATGGTGGACCACTACGCTTTCCTTCCCAACGACCCTTCAAACATGATACAACCAATGGGTCCTGATGCTCAGGCGATGATAATATATACCTCGGATGGGTATATGGGTGCCCAGTTCCTCACCTCTGGTCAAAAATGCCCTAATGCCACCGACATTACATTGGGGGCTTCACCCAGTCTCCAGTCAGTAGGAGGAGCCTACATGGCCTACAGCGGACCGTTCTTCCTAGAAGATGATGGTAACACAGGAGCTCAATTTGTGCTCCATCGCGCTGATATAACGAATATGCCTAGTCTGAAGGGGCAGACACAAAAAAGACGGTTTGAAATAAAGGAGGAGCAGGATGGTGAATACTTGACATTGGAGAGTGTGGACCTAATCGGATTTTTTGGCGAGGACAGGATCATAAAGGTCAAGTGGAAGAGATTAACGGAAACGCAGAAGTAACAAGCATTCCGCAGGCGGTCGGCATTCGCAAGATACGTATATAGTCAAGTGGCGCAGAAGAAAATAAAGGAAATCGTGTATATAAGATTACTTCGACCAATTTCAATGACTCCGTCCATTAGTGACAGCTGAAGCCTTTGGCAGTGTCTACGCTGGCGAATGGACGGTCTCCATTGAATAGCACGGACAGAGGCCTGCTGTCCTGTGTATAGCCAAACTTGGTTAAGTCATCAATTAATGTGACGGCACCAAACTGCTGCTTTACTTACTCCACTGCTATGTCACCCTGACCAAGTGCAGGGGGTGGCAGCCAGTGACCTTTTCAGCACCACTGAGGGATCATCTTTGTCCTTTATGGAGGGTGATTCTAGAGGACAAAAAGGTGCGTTCCAGTCATCCCAACTATCCTCGTAACCTGGCATGCTTTCCGGATTGTCAGTTGAGATTGTGCGTCGCAGCTGCGTTCCCTGGCCCGATTGCCGCTGCACTGGAGATGAACAGGTCGGGCTGGAATCGATATCCTCTGCTGGCTCGCGAGAGTTGGATGGCCTGTTTGGCACTTGAATGCTATGAGATGGCACCGGCTAAGCCCACGACGGCAATGTCTGACCACCAGAAGGGCGAAGTAAATCAGTGGCGGAGATTTTGGCAAGCGACGCACACTTTGTTGACCCTGTTATGCAAAACCCCCTGCCGCATTGATAATGATCTCGTCCGTTTCCCGTCAGGGGACTTTGGTCGGATTGTTGGTCCTCCTCGATGTTGGTTTTCAAGTTGACACGCAAGGATCATAGTGATTCGGTCAGTATTTCCTGTCGTCTACAACGCCAGGAATGTCTACAGTGGCATGAGCTCAACATGAATGTTCCAAGTACCTTGAATGGCAGAGGGAAATTTGTCTGGACTGTAGGCAAGGGCTTTAACGTCAACATTGCAAGCTCCGAGGTTCTCAAGATGCTTCAAGACATAGCTGGGCCTTCAATACCACAGATTCGGCCAGGTCTCGGATCAATATGATGCAGACGCAGGTCACCGAGAGCGAGCGAAGTTACGTAATGCTTAATTACCTCAGTGTCGCGTGGTCGACATTCATAGGTAGTGCTGAATCTCCCCAAACCATTGCACTCTACAGACGACAGAGCTCGAGTACGAAGCATGGCACCGCTATCCATGTCACTAAATAGGCTATCACTCGCAAAACATATTTGGGGGGAAGATGAACTCAGGAGACGGCACGAAATCATCCAGGTCTTGTCGGAATTCCCATTGAAAACGACATGCCCCGACGTCTACGAGCTCAGCAGGCGAGATCTTTGGATATTTCGATTCCAGCAGAGTGTTGAAATCCTTGAGCTCAAGATGAAATTCGGCTGGACCAATGAACACTTTCTCGATGCGTTGAGAATCGTCAGTCCGGATGTTTCCCCGCTAGGTGTAAATTACAGAAGTAAGTTTAGCCTGTGCTTATTATCTAGATTCATTTACGTCGATTAACAGTGGATGGAAGTATTTCTCAGAAATCTCCAGACTACAATGAGCCCAGAACAGCAGGCATACTGGATCCCTAAAGCAGAAAAGTACGAAATCAGTGGCAGTTATGCGCAGACCGAACTTGGACACGGCAGTAATGTCAAGGGTATCGAAACGACCGCAACTTTCGATCCGGCCACGGATGAGTTCATTCTCGACTCGCCGACGGTATCAAGCCATAAGTACTGGATTGGTGCCCTAGGTATTCTAGCGACTCACGCGCTAGTAGTTGCAAGGCTGCTTGTATTCGGAAAAGACTTGGGAAATCATGTTTTCATTGTCCAAGTTCGCGATATGGTAACACATGAGCTCGAGCCTAATGTCCTCGTCTACGATCAGGGGCCAAAATCTCTTGGGTCGTTCAATACCGTGGATAACGGCACCATGAAGTTCACAAATAAACGGATTCCAAGAAGTCAAATGCTGGCTGGTATGGCGTCTTTAGACCGGAACGGGACATATCGTGGAAGTACCAACTCTAAACATTCTTACACGTCCATGGTGATTATACGAGGTCTCATGATAGCAGAAATTGGACAGGATGTTGCTAAAGCCGTCATCATCGCCCTCCGATACACTGCATTCCGACGACAGTTTAACAAGAAGGATGGAAAGGAGACCCTCGTGATTAACTATGCCAGCGTAAAGAATCGACTCTATCCAGCTCTCTGTCGGGTCAGTTACACCCTATTTCTACTCTTTTGTGCCTACTATTGAACTATCTAGGCATTACCAATGATGTTCTTCGGGCGGCAAGTCAAGAAGCAGATTGACAACCTGAAAGATTCCGATCCGGAAGATCTCCATTTACAGACAGTTGGAGGCAAGATCTGGGTGACAGAGCGCGGAGTTAGAGATATCGAGGTGGCTCGCCTTTGTTGCGGCGGACAGGGTACGTGACGCTGATCTCAATACACTGTCGTGCCTACTGACTGCTCCAGGAAACATGGCATACGCAGGCCTGGGCTTGCTACATGCGTATCTTTCGCCGTCGAGAACGTACGAAGGAGACACATACATCTTGTCTCAGCAGATTGGGAAGGCTGTCGTTAAACACTGGAAAAAGTAAGCGATCTTTCTGGTCGGGCAAGACGAATTACTGACTTCGAGAAGTGGTACTGAAAAGTCTATTTCTGCGCTGTCCTATGTTTCTCGACTGAGGAATCGGCAGAGTATGGCCAGCAGAGCAGCAGTGACTGGTCATACCGATTGGTTCATCCTGAGCAACCAGGAGGACTTCTTGGAACGACGCAGCGCTCGCCTGGCACAGACGCATATCAACGAAACATATAGAGAAGAAGACACAAGTTATGACGTGCGTGAACTAGCGATGGCGCATGCCGACTTGACTTTCTGGAGGGCCCTGCAAAGCCAGGTCAAGCAATGTCCAGAAGAGCATGCAGCGAAGATGGAGGCACTAGCGAATGTGGCAAGTATAACGATTTCTTCGGCAGATTGATGGACGTCACTAACTCGGATAGTTCTCTCTCACTACAATGCTTGAGGGCCTGGAGGCATTTGTAGGCAGCGAATACCTTTCCGAGAAGGACATCCAAAGCTTGCGGACAGCGCATCGAGATGCCATCTCCTCATTTACGCAATGTGTTGACCCGATCATTGAAGCCTTTGGATTCACAGACACTGAATTGAACAGCGTCTTCACACGGAAAGACAGGACACCATACGAGGCGCTATGGGACATAGCACAAAAGAGTCAACTGAGCGACAACAGTTTGATTCGGCCAACTATCTTGCGTGCAAGGTCTTTGTGGAGGAATTACCAGGGAAGTCGAGCAAGAATGTAATTGCCCAAAAAAATATGGAAACTACACAGAAACTACTCCACACGTGCAACTGTCCACTTGTTCGGCCCATCCTCCTAGTGACGGGGTTAGAGATTGCATTCAGAAATAATATTGTGTTGTGAACAATGAACCACCTCCGATGATACTTTCCCATACGCCTCGGGTGTCGTCAGTCATGTGCCTTTCGTTCCTCTCGTGCACATACTGTGGTATGTAGGCTCGCCCTCCTACCTAGCTAGGTCTCATGTGCACCCTCCTCGGCACTTTCGTCTTCTAGCAAGGATTCTTTTTACGAGCCGCGGAATACAGAAATACAGAATACTACCGCTCCCTTGATGTCTGTTTGGGCGGTATCGAAGCGTCTGCGTTATTGCATTCGACAAACAGACCTTAGTCAAGAAGGGCTAGCCAGACACAATCACAATACTTCTGGACAGTAGAGCGAGACGCATGCTGCGAAATTTTGGTACCTGAGTCCAGCACGAGTAATTGAAGTTGACTAAACGTGCCAAGCTGGAGTGACAAAGAGCCACTTACTCATGCGCTTCTGACCCGGCCAGTCAGCGGCGGTGGGCTGCGCAGGTAGTGGACCGTCGTCCAGATACCCCACTGCATCGGATCATAGTAGCCAAGTTTGACCTGGTCGGCACGGGGTACGGGGCTGGGAAGTTATCCCATTCAGTTTTCGGTCAGAGCTGCGCAGCAGTACTTCAACCTCCCTTAGCATCCGTCGAGCACAGGTCTTGCGCAGGACATTAAACTCAGCTCAGTACTGCAAGTTAGGACTTTGGGCGTTGCAATTGCACCATCATCGTCGTCGACAAGCAACCATGTATCATTCGACGGCCCTGGTAGAGACACCCCAGTCTTACATGACTCTTGCCCTGCCCGACATTGAAGTGCTGCACGTCCCAGAGTCGTCTCCAACTCCAACACCAGTGCTGGTCATCAGACTCAATAGGCCATCCAAAAAGAACGCTTTTACCGGGCCGATGCGCAGCAGCATCGAGACGGTGTACCGTCTGGTCAACGTCGACTCGCGGGTCAAGGTCGTGGTCCTGACCGGCGCTGGCAGCGCATTTTGTGCCGGAGCTGATCTAGAAATTGGCTGGCCGGGGAGCACGAACAAAGGTGGTCAAGACACCATCAAGAAAAGCGAAAGAGATGCTGATCACAGAGATCGGTAAGTTGGTCCTGCTTTCATCTGTTATGGCTGCAACCTAATGCGATGAAGCGGTGGAAGAGCCGTTCTCGCCATTCACCAGTGCTCCAAACCCACGATAACCGCCATCAACGGTGCGGCAGTGGGCATCGGCGTCACCATGTGCCTACCGGCGACCATCCGGATCGCTAGTGCTGATGCGAAGATCGGGTTCGTTTTCTCGCGCCGAGGAATAGTCATGGACGCATGCTCGTCTTATTTCCTGCCCCGACTGATCGGCTTGTCTAAAGCTCTTCACGTCACGGCCACTGGAGGCGTCTATCGCGCAGACCATCCGTTGATGCGGTCATTGTTCTCCGAGATTCATCCAACTCCAGAAGAGACATTCCGACGAGCGCTTGAGCTTGCAGATGAGCTTGCGACGTACTCGTCCTCGGTCTCGTTGAAGCTGATGCGTGATCTCATGAATTATGGCCCTAACAGCGCAGAGGAGACGCACCTGTTAGACTCGAGACTGCTACATCAACTTTTCGGAACTCGGGATAATAAAGAAGGGGTGGATAGCTTCTTCGAAAAGAGACCTCCAGTTTTTAAGGGGAACATGCAAGAAGATGCCCCGGAAACCTGGCCTTGGTGGCCTCAGATAGACATCGGAACCCTGCGGCCTGGTTCTAGATACGCCTCTAAGCTCTAACTTAGATGAATCAATGTTTCTGGAAACAAGTTTGGTATTCATCGCGGGGGGATTGATTTCAAGATTCAATTGCGGATATCGGTGATGCAATGTGAACCCAGTGTAGAATTTGGTCGGCTATTGCTACAATAAGATGGACGGTTTTTTGGACCCCATATCAGGCTGGCCGGGGACACTATCTTGGATCAGGGGACACCAGCTGACCTAGAAATTGCAGGAAAGTGCGACAATGTCATTTTCTATCATCCTCACTGGCTAGTGAAATCTCAATTCCGCAGAGCTAGGAAAAGCAGCGCCGCGGCAATTGTGTATCCAGAGAGCCCAGGAAGTGCTTTACGAATCGTGAACTCCTCCACCGCACGTCCGAGTTCCTCAACAGAATCACAGGCCTTCTTGGTGCCAGACTCACTTCCAGATATCTGGTAATCGGCCCACACGACCCTGCTCACAAGCTGGGACAAGATTGTTCAGTATAACGCCGAGAAGAGAGGAGATGACTAGTACTTACGTGTTGATATTCCAGTACAGTCTTTGACCAATTGTTTGTGATCTTCCCTGAGCCGTCTAGTTTGTACCAGCTATTGCACCCAGGGTCGGCATAGGCCGTTGTTGCAAGGTCAGCTTGGAGGCCGGCATTGTACTCTTTCACCCTGGCTGCTTTGGGCTCGATAGAAAATTGTGCATCTGCCGCTCGCATGGTGGAAACAGCTTTGATCAAGGCGGCAATGTAACGGCTCTGTGCTTCGATCATCAGGATGATGCTGTTGTGGCTCAAATTGGTGTTTGGGCCATAGAGCATAGCAAAATTTGGAAGCGATTCTACGCAGATACCATATAGTGCCTCAGCGCCATTCTGCCACAAGGTTGCGCCCAGCTTCCCCGCATGTCCTGTGACCTCAATAGGGTACATGAAGTCGACGGTTTTGAAGCCCGTGGCGAGAATGATCAGGTCAAAGTTCTGCTCGTCGCCCTCTACCACAATCCCCGTTGGAGAGACTCTGCTGATCGGGCGTGTTTCAAGCTTCACATTTTGCCGAAGGAAGGTCGGATAGAAATCATCAGAAACAATGATTCTCTTGCATCCGGGCCGATAATCGGGTGTAAGCTGTTGCCAAAGACTTTCATTGTCCTGAAGTTGTGCGTGCATATGGGCCAAGCATAACGCTTTCACTTGCTCGGAAGTCTCGTCGGTGGGCTTTACCACGTTCGCGAAGGTTGTCTCGCGAAAATTCCACATGCGCGATCGCTTTGCTTCACGAATAATCGGCAGATATTGATAGATATATCGTCTCCATGCCGGAATGTCTGCGTTCATGCGGGGAACAACCCAGTTCGGTGTTCGCTGGAAGACGGTCAAAGACTCCACGACTTTGGCAACCTCGGGGGTGATCTGTGCAGAAGTTGAACCCGAGCCGATGATGGCGACCTTTTTGCCTTTCAGATCGTATGTCCAGTCCCACCTTGCACTGTGCATTACTTTGCCTTCAAACTCGGGCAGCCCGTCAATATTGGGTACTCTGGGGATGTTGAGCTGGCCCACAGCCGACACAAGAAAGTCGGACTTGATGGTGTAAGTACGGCCAAATTCGGCGTCTTTACCTCCTTGAACTTGTACGGTGGTATTCCAGGTCTTGGACTTATCGTCCCAGTTCGTTTTTTCGACAGACGTGTTAAATCGAATATATCGGTAGAGGTCGTACTTGTGTGCAACTCGCAACAAATAGTCCAAGATTTCCTCCTGACCAGCGTACTCTCGCGTCCAACCGGGGTTCTGCTCAAAGGAGTAACTGTAGAGGTGTGACCAAACTGCGATATTAGCGGCCGAATGGTGATCTCACAATGTCAACTTACCATCACAACAACAGCCGGGATAGCGGTTATCCCTCCAGGTTCCCCCAAGTCCCGACGATTTCTCAAAGATTACAAAGTCGCGGCTCTTGGTCCTCCTCAGCAGATCTATAGCCATACATATACCAGATATCCCAGCACCAATAATCACCACAGATGCTCGAGTGTAGCCTTCACGGCCTGAACATACTGTTGATGCACGGACCTTCGCCATTGACGATGGATGATCCAAAGACTCAGCCCGAGCAGAAAACTTCCACAGCACAAATAGATCGGGAGTTCGGAGGGATTCGTTGATCACTGATTTGCAACCGATGATTCTATAATATCATCTAGCGAGGCTGCAAGTACTTGTGTGGTCTCTTTCATGTGAATTAGATCATCAGCCTTTATCAATTGACAATTTGTCATGCCAGGGAACAGTGACTAAGGCCAGACGCGTGAGATCGAGTCTGCTTCATTTAACTCGATGCTTCGATGCCAGAGCAGATTTTGTGGTCACACTCTAGGTAATAGGCCAACAAGAAACATGGCGTTGGAAGCACAACAACTTCAAGAGCTCTACGACAAACAGAAACTCTACGAAAACTTGATGCTTTATTGCCGCGGAATCGATCGCATGGACGCCGAACTTGTCAAATCCACATATTGGCCTGACTCGACCGATGATCATGGTGGATTCGAGGGCCCTGGCCAAGAGTGGGCGGCCGCTGGTTGTGCCTGGCGAGATCAAATTTACAGCAACAACCACCACGTTTCAAACGTCCTCATTGTCATTGAGGGTAATCGAGCAGAGCGCGAGAGCATGTTTTTGAATGTGGTCAATCTCAAATCCCCCGCAGTTTCCTTTTTCTTAGGTGGAAGATATCGAGACCTCTGTGAGAAGCGAAATGGCGAGTGGCGAATCTTGCATCGCGTTTGCCTGTGGGACTGGTTCGAGCACCAGCCGACGCGCGGCGGATGGCATCTGTGCGACGTTCCCCAGGTCTCAAACTGGGGAGCATTTTTTCCTGAGGATGCAATTTACAAGGATTGGGAGAAGGGCAACCAAACTCCGTTTCCACGACCTGCTGCGCAATACTCGGCGATGTCGAAGCCTGGCGACGAAAGTGGAATTTCCGACAACTGATGTCTATTGGCTAGGAGCACGGTGCGACCACTTAGATCTGCCGATGGCGAAGCTATGTAGAAAAGCATTACTTGTTGTGTCGCGACCTGCATCCGGGGTGGGGACGGGAAGCACGGATTTCATTAAGGTCACGGGGGTCGCCAAGCTAGCTGTCTTTTCAAGCCATAGTAAACTCAGACTAGTACCATCGTGGTCTTCTTCGCAAGGGACTATTGCGAGCATCAGTTCGCATCGTTGTGGACGACGAGGAAGGCTCACGAAGATTGGTATTGAGGGGCTCTCGTATGAAACTTCGAATCTGTCCGATTATACGCGTACACAGCATTGTCCATGCAGAGATCTGGACTTGAAAAGGACTAGACAAGCGCATTGCAACGGGTCTCGGCCTCGAAACCAGCGCTCGAGAGGAGATCCAGAAACCCGGGGCGAGAGGGTCATCCTGTGCTGGATGGTTGGGCTCTAATTGACCGCCATCAGTTCCCGTTAGCGAGCAGAATCTAAATGTGATCAGTGTTGCTCAGCCCTCATCTCCGTAGGGAGCTCCGGGGAGTCATTAACAGTGACACACCTCTCCCCACACACTCTCGATGACTCCACCACCGTGACTAACTCCCGACCAGTCAATATGGAGACCGGACCAATGCCCGTCCACAGCGCAGTGGGAAGGACTTTTCGATATCATGGAGGCGCTCAAGCGCATCAAGAGGGCGCAAGAAATACGGCTTCTGTCTGATTTCTAATTCACCCGCAGCACAGCATAGCATGTCTTTGTCGAAGATCCGGCCATTTTACGACCCGCGGGTGCAATTGCGCTCAGCACACCTGAACGGCCGCACCTACGGGTATATTTTCTGCCCGGCCTCGGTCCAGCCGGCCAAGTGGGGTACCATCGTACTGGTCCACGGCTTTCCAGACTTAGCGTTTGGCTGGCGGTATCAGATACCCTTCTTGACCAATCTTGGACTGGATGTCATCGCCATCGACTGCATGGGCTATGGTCGGACCGACGCTCCAGAGAGCCTGTTGGCCGATTACAGCTTTCGCCGCGTCGCCAATGACATTGAGCTGCTTTGTCAACAGCATATGATCTCGCGCATAATACTGGGTGGTCATGACTGGGGCGGCGGTGTCGTCTATCGTGTTGCTCTCTACAAACCGCACCTCGTGAGCCACATATTCAGCATCTGTACCCCCTTCTTCCCACCGAGCCCAGTGTACGAGCCCCTACCCGTCACCGTCGCTGAACGCTTGCACAACTTTGGCTACCAGGTCCACTTTGCAACAGGCGAGGTCGAGGAGGCCGTGCAATCTCGAACAGAAATCCGTCAGTTCCTTGCCAACATGTTCGGTGCGCGGACGGCTGAGAGAGTCAAAGCATTCTCCGCCGAGAGAGGGTTGTTGCTCGATCTGCAACGGCGGGTAACCAAGTCCATCCTGTTGTCGGAGGAGGAGATGGACTTCTACGTGCAGGAATACTCGCGACACGGGGTGCGAGGCCCTCTGAACTGGTACCGCACCCGCGAGATCAACTTCATGGACGAATATGCTTATTTCTACGATAACGGGCGTAACAAAGACGCGCAGGTCATCGTCCAACAGGAGTGCTTGTTCGTGATGGCGACCAGAGACACGGCATTGCGCCCTTACATGTCCGAGGGTATGGAGAAGCACATGAAACGCCTGACAAAGAAGAAGATTGTTGCGAATCACTGGACCCTCTGGGAACAGCCTGAACAGTGCAATGCGATCATTGGGGAGTGGTTACAGGAGAAGGTGTTCCCCGCCATCGTGGCGGGAGAAAAAAGCAAGCTTTGACCGGGAGTAGAGTTTGACATGCACTCAACAGTTGGCTTGGGCTTCGAGAGACGGCCAACATACCCTTGTAAGGGAGCTAGATCAACTCAGTAAGGCGTAGAATCATGGGAAGCCCAACAAGAAAAAGGTGATCAGTCTGGGGCACAGTAATCGGGCTAATCATTCCCTAAGAACAGTCAAATCCGAGACTTTTGGGGGCCTCTCGGCCCCATTCTATTCCCTGTGTTGCCAGCTAGAGTCCCTTGAACGATCCTGGTCTGGCCGACGTCCTGGGCCACGCCTGTCATTACTCGTCTGCCCTCACTATCTTTTGCCAAGGCCCACCAAATCTTCAGAGGTCCACCCACCCCGCATCACCAAGGATGCCTGGGCCGAGGCGGAGTCTTGGGGAGCACGGGGTATAAAGTCGAGGGTCTGCCCGTGAGCCATAGAAAACCTGACCGCCGAGCTACCATACCTCCCCGGATCCCCATATCCTTAAGACCTCAACCGCTTTTCTTACTCATCCTAATTTTTAGCACCTGTCCATTTCACTTGACTCACACAGGTAACATGCCTGCCTCAAAGAAAGAAAGGAGGTCTGGGATCTGGAATACCAGCAATGATAGCCTGGAGCAGAAGTAAGTTCCACTTTTGAACTTTGGGAGCATATGGTGCCCACGTCGAAAATAAACAGCAACACACCAGCTCACGACTTCGGGTCTATAAAGGCGTGCACGCAATCGGCAATCCCAGCGTTCGTTCCGAGAGAGACGCTTGCTTCGAATCCGAGAACTTGAAGCCCAAGTTCAGTCCCTCTCCATGGGGGATGATGAGCGAAATGCCAAGTTGGTGGCAGAGAACTACGCCATTCGAACAGCTTGGGTTCGAGCAAGGCAGCAGACCGCCAACCTGGAGATGATGTTGCGCAATTTGAAGGAGACATTAGACTCCTGTCTTGAGCTTGGAGCAGATAGATTGGAAACTCTGGCCGAAGACCGAAGTAATGTAATATCGGTGAGACCTTGCCCTGACCAGCCGTCGGAGGAACATATATTTGTTGCAGGTTGATTAACAGACGAAGTCCACCCAGGAAACCCAGCCCATCTCGGGCACTCCAAACCAGTCCCCACGATCAAGCAGCCGACAACAAGACCAAGCCAGCCCTCATGACTCCCACGACTTTGAAATAGCCACATCTCGTTGGGTTGATCAAAACTGCAACCAGAAGCAGCTCGAATCAAGTATGGTACAGGACCAGTCCTTGCAAGGTATGTCATGAAGGCCTTCTTCAGGTCGCCCTTGTCTTGTCACATATACTTTCACGTTTACTGTCCTTTGCTCTCATGATCACTAACGGAATTAACTCGTCCCATAGAATTCACAGCGGAGACACAACTGGTTGCCCCAGTCATGGAACCAAACACGAACCATGAACCAACCACGTGGTGGTCCCCGCTGGATCTCAGTCAGACCTTGCTTGACACCCAACCCGGCACTGGGACGCATGGCATCGCTGAACTCTGGACTTGCAGTGCCCTCCAATCTCCCGGACTGGAAGCCCCTGCTCCCATCCACTTTGAGTCCCATGAAATGTCCAGACCGTGTCTCGTACGTGAGCTGGACCCACCATCGGTTTTTTGCGATTCGCCATCCGCCTACCTGGAAGCGATGGAATCATGTTTGACTGCCTTTGTCCGCTTTCTTGGTGCAAAGGCGACGGAAGAAGTGTGAGTATTTCTTTGTTCCGCGTCCGGTGACCTTCCTAACGATTTCGTCTCGTCAGGGTTCTCAAGGGATGCCTCGCCCTGATGATACTTTTCAGTCGATATGTCTGGCCAGGCCCTTCAGAAATGTGGTTTGGCTCCTTTTGTTACGCTATGGCTGAGCACATGTTGTTCTGGCGAGCCGGCTCGATGACCAAATTTGCAAAACGACCACCCGCATATCTGATGCCCAACGAGTTTCAGGAGACAAAGCGTCCCCCTCCCATGATTTCCTGGATCTGCATTGAGCCACTACGGAACCAGATCATCCGGCACGCCAGCCACACGCGGGATTTCGACTCAATTTGGATTGACTGCATGGCATATGCCGTGGTCGAAATCGATGACATCTCCACTATCCTTACCGGCGTCGAACCTGGACCCGGCTTCCTGGGAGCTTGGAACCTATTTGATGCCATCAGTCAATCACCATGCTCGGATACATTTCAGCAAAGCAAGTGCCAGTGGACACAGGGGAACAGCTTCCCTGAGCTTTCTGCTCTCGACAGTGCCGGGCTTCTACCAGTGTATAGAATGCAACTCCCCGACGAGCCAGAAACCTCGTATGGAAAGGCTCCGCGGCTAGGTTACTGGGAACCCGTATCGCTGGCGGACCTCCTCGCCAGCCCTGAATTGGCGCGGAAGCTATATTACCACCTAGAACTGTACAAGTCGCACTGTTCTTGGAAACTCGATCCCTCTTTCTTCCAAAAGCACCCCGCTTTGAGATGGCCAGGTTACGAGAAGTTCACGGCACCTGGACGTGGTTTTCGATTGACCCCTCACTCAATCTCCATGCCCATCCGGCAAACACGAGAAGAGGTCCTCTCTCAATTTCAACAGGCGCTATTTGAGATGCACCCACTACGAGTACTCTGATGGCAAGACATCAAAGTTGACGTTGCACTCTCCACTAGGAGACATGCTTAACGACCATTGTTACACCAATTTATGGCCAGATATCAGAGGCTACTTGACTCCGAGTATTGGAAACAACTCGACGACGACTTGGGCCGAAAAGACTTCATAAACGGGACAGATGAATTCCGCGTCTTTGGGTAAAGAAGTATGGTTTCCAATCAAAGCAAAAAGATTTTCCCAACTGTCATTGTCGTGCGTAATCTCTACCTCTTTTATGGGGATCCTTGAGCAATCGCGATACTGTTGGCTTGGTCATTAACTTCTACTTCTGTCCGGTCAGCCTAGCCTTTTGATGTCAAAATGTCGTAGTATCACTACTGAAAATTCCAGTAGTGTTCTCGGTAACTCTCAAATTGTGCCCAGGCCACTCGAACGACGCGCGCTATAGAAGACAGAGCAGGTAGAGCTACCTGGGTTACTGTTCCTCCCGGCGGCCACATGTATACCGCTTGCCTCCTCGGGGTGATAGTGGCTCGTTACTCACACACTTTGGCCGCTAGGAGAAACATTCAAAATGGACTATGAGTACGTAATATGTTGGATGGGCGACGTCGTAGTGGATTGCGTGGCACTGAATCCGATTATTTCGATTAGTGACTACTTTCGACGTTTGATTCCTTGTAACCTCTGTTAACTGAGGCATTCTGCGATGCCACAGGCTCTGCTGGTCTTCCTCACTGTGCTTCTTGCGACCAAAACCGCCTTTGGAAGCCGCGGCCCCATGTAGATACCTTCTCCAAAAGGTCATACGCATCTTGAATGCTGGCCATTGAACCTCGCGAAGTTCCATCGGAATTCGAGGAAGGGACCAGGCCGCTCTGGGTGGCTCTTTATCACATAGTCGTTCTGTCTCGGTCAGTCCTCATTAGCCCGGCTAGTGCTCAACATGAACGAGCGGTTTGCACTGCATTTCATCACCATGTAGTTAACCAGTATCTCAGATGTAAGTATGTAGGTTCGCAGTCGACCTAAATGTTTCTTGACCGCTCTAACAAAAACTTTTAAGTCTTGTAACACAGACCAATACCCCATCTTTTGAAGACTGAGAGGTCACCTACACGTCCTGTTCAGCGCATAAGTATTTCCACAAACCACATATACTGCTTCCACTTATCAGCGTCAAGTCTCCAGCCAGTACGGGACAGGTCCAATGTTGAACGCGACGCTTGACGGTCGAGATAGAAGCTAGATCTGACGAAGACCCGCTGTCCGAATGTCGGCTTGCTGTGGAAAAAATTGCGTAGGAGTGATTGTGTCTTTTTATGATGCAGGAGCCTAAATGATGGATTGATGTATGCCCGTGGCATCAACAAGGTCTGGAAAGATGCACAGCGCCGAGCTGCGCTTTTGTACGACGTGATAGAACCGTGTCTAAACCGGGGCAAGGAAAGTAGTCTGCTGATACTCAGGTGTGAAATTGTGGTGACATTGCAATCTTGGAAATAGGAAGCTTACGTAGGCTTACGTACTTATCCGTCTCGGATACAAACAAACCCGGAAAGGGTTGGCAAAGTAACACGACTATCGAGGGTGTTTCGTCAAGCTTTTGCACTACGTATACGGGTCGATGGGTTGGAAGGCACGGAACAGGTGCCTCAAAGCATGGTACCATATGTCCGAAAGTTCTCTGGGTCCCAAGGGAAGACACGTACCCTTCCACCTCTACCGCAGGGCAGTTGACGTGACAGTTACCAAGAGCCGCTGGCGATCGGTGGTTCTTTCCGTGGCCCTCTCTCTGACTGCGGTCATGATACGCAGGGGTATCGTGGCAAAGTGTGTCAAAATTAGTGACCATACTCGCCGACTTTCAACAGTCATGTGCTCTATGGAGAATTGATTGTGTTCTCTACACACTCCAGAGCGGTGACCTAAGTAAATTTTATTCTGCTCGACTAACATGGACGTTTTGGATGCTCAGGCTTGGTCAGAGAGCGTCAGTTGAGCTCTGATCACTTCCGCGATTCTGGGCTGAGCGGCACCAATGTTGGACAATGCAATTCAGCTGAAACCAGTTTTCTCCAGATACTTATCAAGCTAAGTCCTATTTACTAAGATTTACGGTCCATTAACGCCTGTCTGGGGTATCGAGCTCGTCTGCTGCGGATTGAGGGTTGCCGAACACATTATCTATCATTTTTGAGATAGATCAGCTGTGCAGATGGCCGACATTCCCAAGGAATGCAAGGGTGCTGTAGTGGTTGACGAAGGCCCGAATTTCCGAGTCGAAGTTCGAAACGTCGCCGTTCCTGAGATTGGTGAGCTGGATGTGCTAATAACACTCTCGACTTGCTTGTCGACCTCTCACCAATTGGCAGCTGGCTAACGCCAGAAACGCAGGCCCCGAGGACGTTTTGATCAAGATCAACGCAACCGGACTTTGCATGAGCGATGTACATTTCATGTCCAACGACTGGGGTATTGCACCCATGTCCTACTTTGGGACGCAGTGTGCTGGGCATGAAGGTGCTGGGGTCATTGTCAAGGTCGGAGAACGTGTCAAGAGACTCAAAGTCGGCCAAAGAGCGGGCTTCAAGCCGATAGCAGAGACCTGTGGATGGTGCGACCTTTGTATTAGTGGTCAAGACCAATACTGTGCAGCGGCCAAGCTAACAGGCTTTCTTACCGACGGCGAGTCAACAGGGTATCAAGGGAAGAGACTGCATGCTAACGCAGCCATAGGGACATACAAACAATACCTGAGGAGCCCCGAAGCATACACGACACTCATCCCCGACGGCGTCCCCGACCATATTGCAGGACCAGTCATGTGTTCAGCCTCGACCATGTACAGCTCGCTCAAAGAATCAGGGCTACGCCCGGGAGACTGGGCGGTTTTCGTTGGTGGTGGTGGCGGGGTGGGCATCCAGGGCGTCCAACTCGCTTCAGCCATGGGCATTCGCCCTATCGTGGTCGACTCGGGGCGGGAGAAACGCAAAGTAGCCCTGGAGTATGGCGCAGAGGCATTCCTGGATTTCAAAGAGTCCAAAAACGTTGCAGCCGAAGCAGTGGCCACTTGTGGAGGTATTGGAGCACACGGTGTGTTTGTGACAGCAGGTGAAGGCTACCCAACGGCACTGTCATTCCTGGGCAACCGTGTTGGAGGAAAAGTGAGTTCCGCGCATTGTATCGCCTTGAGCTATCCCAAATAGCTAACTCGAGCTCTAGGTGATGTGCGTTGCCCTTCCTACTGTGGGTTTGTACCCTATGAACGTCAACGCTGCCGAATTGATTACCAAGAAGAAGTCGATAAGTGGCACTATGGTCAGCAGTATGGCCGACGTGCACAAGACACTGGAATTCGCCCAGCGCGGAATCTTACGGCTACGGCCAGAGATCGTGGGTTTGTCAAAATTCAATGATGCAGTGCAACGACTGAAGAAGGGAGAGGTGGCCGGGCGAATTGTTGTAGACTTTAACCTAGAATGAAGCCTCTGATCCAATGTCCTTTCGAGTTGTCTACACTGGACCTATACGCAGTTGATTTCGCTCGTTAGAGGAACACTTTGGCCTTGTCCTGAGTTGTGTAGTAACGTCAATCGTCTTAGGGCGACCTCGAATAATGGGCAGACGCTCTACGTTTGAGACAGTTTGAATGATTCGCGAAACAGAATGATCCAAATGGACCTTCTCGACAAATATTTGTATTCGCGGATCTGAGTTGGATTTCTATGCACTTTTATGATCGAAACGTAAAGGTTCTACGGATTGGGAGTTATCGCGACGCCAGTAGGTTCCAGCAACGAGATGAGGGAGCTGAAGGTTCTGGTTGACCGCAATGTCTAACTAAAGAAGAACATCACACACGATGAAGTGTCTTTCCCAAACTCCACTAGCAATGAGTTTTCCATGCTTTGCGTCGACGGCACCGGCTGTGATGATACTGATCAATGATCCATCGTCCCAGTAGAGAACCTCTGTAGCGTAGTTGTCTGCTTTCACTAGGCGGACGACTGCTGCCTCGACAAGCTTGCTCGAGTCTAGAGGGTCGTCACCGAATGCACGGGCATATACGCTGGACAAATTGGGCGAAACTGAGCAGGTTGGTCATCGTCCCTCTTGGGTATTGTCGGTTGAGTTGAACTCACCTGCGACAATGATGTCGCCGTTATCGCTCAACTCGGACATGTTATCAGGGGTAGCGCCCAACTCCTTAGGCTAGAGTCAGTCGATTGACGTCAAAGCGCGAGCTGCATTTGGCTCACAACAACATGGCTCCTTGTGAGCTTTCCGGACTCCAGTTGGACATCATAGAATGTGATGCTTCCATAAACCACATCAGCAACTGCTAGAGTTTTCCCTTGGTCAAGAAGGAGAATCCCATTGGCGTAGGGATGAGAATTTTTGGGCGAGACCCTCTGGCAATCAAAGTCTCCGTGATTATCCGCACAGAAGACGATTGAAGACGCCCATTTAAAAGGACCAAATCGATTTTCCAGGTACCGGCCTATCCCTCTGGCAAAGTAATGGTCGTTTGAGACGAAAAAGGACCTTTGGCAAGTCAATCGAGGTCATTATCGCGAGTTTCCACGACTTAGCTCAAACCCGACCTTACCTAGGACCTGTCGCAGCAACCTCGTTGGCCGTTTTGATCAATGGATGCAGATATTCATCAACGACTCGCACCTTGTTGGTACCCAGAAGGTGTGAGAACACAACAACGCTATCTCCCTCGCGATCGTGGTTGACTGCATGGATGTAAATCTTTGACAGGAGTGTTAGAAAGGTATAGTGAAATGCTTCTTCAAACTTACCATGGAATCATCGCCGACTGGTTGCCAGATATCCAAGCCATGTAAAACAAGATCGCGAGTGGCATTCCAATTTTCGATCTCTAGTCGAGTGCTGACATTGGTCTAGCATAACTAAGCCTGGAGTCTTCTACGGAATATCGCAATGCTCACTCGGAACTCATGCTTTACCAGATACTCCATATAGTATCTGTCCGGAGGGGCTCCGACGAGGCCAGCGCCAGGATAGTATTGCAATCGATCTTCCGGACTCCCGCAAGCTCCTAGTTATCAGACATTATTCCAGGGCAAAACTGCAATCTGCTTACCTAAGAAGGCCGTATTTGACGGAGCATGTATCTTGACGTCCTCACAAGCTTTGCCAACTACACACTGGTATATTAGCATGCATCAGCCATAAAGACTGGCGGTTGAGAGAATACTGGTGTATGTGTAACAGGCCTCGTTATTGTAGTTTCCATGACCAGCATATTTGGTCGTCTCTTGGGGTTGCACCTGACCGAGCAGGTTGCTCAGGATCAAGTCGCGTTTGGTCCAAGCTAGTGATATAAAAACCACTAGCAAGGCCGTTACGGGTCGTCTAAATGGTTTCTTCCAGCTCATTTTGATTTTTGTTGCATGTGAACAACCTCTGTGGAAAGTCCTGGCGCCTTCGAGTATGTCGAAGCAGATGTATAGATAAAATCTCACGAATTCCCATAATTTCAGGACGGCTGGACCACACGAATTGAAGAACCTTCATGCCAAAGCAAGAGATGCGCTTCTGTTCCCCACGATGAATCATATTTAATGACACATGAAGCTTGGACGTGTATCTCCTGAGTGGGGATGTAACCACTAAACTCCCTACCTCTTCACCAATGGTCGTTCCTTTGGTTACGTTGATCGAGTTAGCTCGGTCAGAGACGCATTCCCCCTGAAAGTTGCGCGTAATAAAAGGATCGTTGGTTAGAGGCTGGACACTGCTTGCCATCAGATGGTGAAACACTTGGCACACCTTTCGCAGTGCCGTACTCTGGCTCTTTCTCTCTCTTCTTTGACCTTGGCCTACAGCGAGTCATCTCCATCGTCCCAGACGCGCCAGACTCTGGGAAGGGTAGTGTGACGAATGCTACAAAAGCAACCATAGTGTCAGTAGTTTTCTCGTGTCTAGCAAGCTAACCCAGGTGTGGAGATCCGAGCTCAAGATACCGAGGATGCACAGCGCAGAAAGACTGCTGTGGCCTTGATTTTCTAGAGTAAATGTCAACACTCCTCGCGTACAGCAGCTCGGGAAATACTGAGTTACTTTAGATCAAGTCAAGGACCATCTCAAGAAGCGGAACCTGACAGCTCATGTAGGCATACGTAGAATGCACGTTAACCCGTCGCCGCCCTACTTTCGGCCATCTTCCATCTCCATTCTCGAGAATCGGGTCATTGTGTTGCTCATCGACGGCCACACCGTCCGGGTCTTCTTGGATGAATGACCTCCATCACAATTATCGCTCCAATCTCATTCCTTGTCAGCAATCTGGAGTAGTCCGAGGACATAGACATATTCGCGCAGGAGCTAGTCGGGATATTGGGAGACCAGCAGGTGTCAATTTGCCAATTCCCCATAACTGCCCAAAACGCCTCTAATCTCTGGCTCCAAGTTTTTCATCGGCCATGTCATCAGCTTGTTGGCCGTCGCCTCTCGAGCCCACGGGCTCTGCAGCTTGTCTTCTCGCTTCGATGTCTTCGATATACCGCTCTCTTTCCTTTTTCCCACGCAGTAGGGCGCGGACGTCGTCGGACATTTTCGACTTGAGGTCCGGCATGAAGAATGCGAGAATCACAATGCTGCCAATGAATGCAATAGACACGAAAAATATGGTCCTGAATGCTTCAACCTGTGCCTGTTGATATGCTCTAACGCCAGTGGCGATGATCTCTGGTGTTACGCCTGCCACCTGCTCGAAGGAGCCGCTCTGGAGGGCAAGCATGAAGTCTGTGATCGAAGATTTCGGCAGCCCAGCTTGTGACAACGCTGGTGGGACCAATTCAGGAATGGTGGTGGCAAGCCTATTGGAAAGAGTAACGACATAGATGGTCGTTGCAATTGTCGCGCCAATACCGCGAGTCGTTGCACCAACGCCGACAGCAATGCCGATCTCGGATTGGTCGCGGATGGCAAGAGAGCTTGTAGTTACTGTGGAACCTTCAATGTATCCACAAAAGACGCAGCCAGTGATGAGGAGGCCTAACACAGTATGCATGTTGTCAGTGGTTGCACAAGCGACGGATCCCAAAAGGGCTGTGGAGATGACGGCACAAACGATCATCTGCCATTTCAAAGGTCCTAGAAATCGCGCCAGACCGGACAGAATAATGCCCATGATGAAGCCGCCAGAGCTAGAGCAGGCGACGATCGATCCGTATGCCTGGTCACTTGTCCAAACCCCAAAAACCATTTGAGGAACGACAATGGAAAAGCCGTAGAAAGCCGACGCCGCCAACGCGTTGATAACGATGTTGACAACCCACGCTAAGCATATCATCAGTTTTTGCAGGAGAAATCTCAAGTGACCCAACTGTACTCACGGATATTGCTGAACAAATGCAAGGGGATAATGGGATCGGGTAGCTTTCGGACGTTCTCGTACACGACGAAAGCGACCATTGACAGAAGCCCAACAACGATGAATCCTATGACATAACCGGATTTCCAAGGATGGACGCTGCCTCCCCAGCTCAGGCCCATCAGGAAGACCAGGATGCCGCCAATAGATAACGCAAACCCAATGTAATCAAAATCCTTGACCATCTGCCACTTTGTCTTCCGTGTGATCATGACAAAAGTTGGAGGATGGTAGAAGATCGCCCACAGTGTAGTAGCCACGCCGTTGGTGATGATGAGCATGTAATAGATCCACCTCCACCCGGCGCTCGTGTGCTCGATGAACGCATAGGAGATTGCAGGTCCGAACACGGCGCAAGGGATGGCAAAGAAATAGAACAGGCCAGTCACCAAGAACCGGTGTTTCATCGGGACGAGCTCGCCCATCACAAATGGGATGGACGTCTGCACCGATGCGGCGAGGCCGAGAAGCACATTTCCTCCGATCAAATTCGTAATCGAAGATGCGCGACTGCAGACAATTGCACCGACGAGACCGAGGGTGTTGCCTCCCACGAAGAAGTACCTTCTTCCACATAGGTCACTCAAGCGTCCCACAATGATATATCCGCATGCGAGCATCAGGGTGTTAACCAGACCAATCCAGACGAAGTTTGGGTCTGGACCGAGGTCATTGTTGATTGAGTTGAGGACTGGCGCTGCCAGAGAAAATGCTCCCGTTCCCTATAATGTAATTAATTCTAACCCAGCAGCTTATTCAACTAGAATATACTCACACTAACCAAGCTGATAGCTACTGCCCCACAGGTGCCGATGAAGAGCTTGTTCTTGTAGTAATTATTAGGGATCTCTTGTGTTTCACTGGGATTGACTTGCTCAACACGTTCTGAGAAGTCTCCGGCTTTGTCCGAGTGCGTCGAGTCCATTGCGGTCTGGTGAGAGCAGAGGCTAGAGTCGAAAGATACCGTTTGATGATTCAGATCAAGAGAAAGATCCAGCTGCCCACGAGTGAAAGGCAGAGAATATACATCTGGCTGTGCGGTGATGACACATAAAACATGACCCATCATTTCGCTCGACACACCTGAAGACGGGGCGCCCCACAAGCTTCCCCAGGTGAAAAGCCTCGCGGGGAAAGGAGGGACTTCTACTTTCATCGAGCCCGTGCGACACGCCATTTTTTAGCAGTCTGTCCCGGCGCACTGGTGTCCCGGCCTGTGATATACGCTCTCTACCACGACAAAGTGCCATGGCTTCCGAGCGTGAAGCCCTTTACAATAATTCAAAACCAAACCTGAGATGTTGTTGAACAGGATTCTTTCAAAAACTGTCCACAATTGCGGGTGTAACCCAGCCGACTGCGGCCGCAGGGCATTTATGGATCAAAAGCATGGCGCGCACAGCTGTTGAGGAGTATCTGAAGACGGAATCTTCACAGGAAAGACCCACGTCGTAGAGCCTTCCTTGGGTTGAGCCTTCTGAGAATGGTCCCCAAAAGTGCCGGAATTAGGAATGTATGAGCATGGCTGTGACAAATAAAAGCGATTGGGGGCGGTACAGTCAGAAACTCCCTACCAGAAAGTCCCGAAGCGCCTATCGATTCGCGTGTGATAGGTGAGGGCGTTCCTACGCAAATTTCGGCGTGTAATGACACATGTTATCTTAGAAAAAATTTCTTTGTCATCGCCTAGATAGCTTCATGGCCTGGATGGGTGAACATCTACGTGCTATTGTTAATTCTCACAGATTGACAAATCTCCGGCCAGGATACTGCAGCAGGAAGCTGGATGAGCCATAATGACACCTTGGTTCTCGCTTGCATAGAGACCTCCTATGTACAGGAACTCATAGTAACGGGCTATTAGAACAGTAGACTTCGGAGTTGTTATATAGAAGGTTACGTCATACCATACTCAGGTCTCACGAATGGAGAACAATTGCTTCTCCATTCAGCGCCTTAGGAAGGGCTACATCAACTGTGATGTCGGGGTTATCGTTAGATGGCGGTACTGCTTCTGTTGATCCGTCCTCCCCTTGTTCAATAGCACGCTTTCTCCTGTCACGAGCTGCCAGGAAGCGAATGAGTAAGATATGAAGGATAATTGCCACGCCAAGAGAAGCAGCGAAAATGAATCCTGCCTTGAACCGCGGACCTTGCGCCGTTCTCCACACAACAAGCGTGAACCAGATTGACTGGATGGAGCTGAAGACCATCGAAGCAGCAGTCAGAAAACCACGCATTTCGTGATCATGTGGAATCAGATCTGGATACCAGGAATACCATAGCCCAGGTGCACCTGACGAAAAGTTGAGTAAGTAAAACGCAGCGAATTTGAGGTTGTCGGACACGTCCCAGACGGCGAGAACGACAGAGCTGAAAAAGGTTCCCGCTTGCAGGAAGATCAGGGCTGGCCACCGTCGGCCACGCATCCAAGGAGAGTCTGTGATCATTCCAGCAAGGATCTGAGCTACCACTCCAACGGCAACCTGCCCAGTCGGCCAGACGTTGATCTCGTAGATAGACTGCTTTCTGGATTTGAGCCAGAGCGCGAAAGCAGGCTGATACCCCGGGAAACTTCCTTGTAGGAAAAAATAACCGAGTGGTAACACCCAAAATTGCCATTGACTTGCAATGCGGAATAACTTTGTTCGGTTCCATTTTGATGCCCCCAGAGGTCTTAAGCCTTCTCGCATAAGTCTTTCGCGAGCCCATTCAGCCTCCTTTTTAGTGATGTAGAAAGCTCGAGTCGTTTCTGGAAAATCTGGGAAGAAAAAAAAGCCTGTGATGCCAATGGGTAGGCTAATGACGCCGCAGATAATGAATAGCCACTGCCATCCTTCGCGTCCAAGCCGGCCATCAAGGCCAGAGTACGCCCCAGCTTGAAGGTAGCCACTAAACATCCCAGCAAGCTGGGCGGTGGAATAAAATATAGTAACTCGTTTTCCGCGCTCGCCCTTTGTGTACCAGGAGCTGATCATGTACACGACTACCGGGAAATATGCGGATTCGAAAAGACCGATGAGAAAGCGGATTGCGTAAAGCTGCGATCGATTCTTGACCGCGGCGGCACAGAAGGTCAATATCGACCAAAGGACCTCCACTGTAGGGATGAGGAGTGATGGTCGCACTCGTGTAGCGAGTATGACTGCGGGTATTTGTCCAGCAATATAGCCCGAAAGGTAAACGTTGCTGGCGTACGTCAGCTCGCTACCGTTGAGATGGAGCGCTTCTTTCATGCCCGAGACATAAGCGTTGTTGATGTTGGCCTGGTCCAGGTTCTTGCAAAAGTATCCTGCGCATGCGGAGCTGAGCAGGAACACGTCGAGCTTGAACAAGAACCACTTCTCTTCCTTTGGCTTGTCAGGATCATCCCAGATAAGCCTGCGCGCGTTTCGAAGAAAGCGACGCGGAATGCTCAAAGATTCAGAGGGCGTCAGGGGCGGCTCTGATTTGGGCTCCAGGGCTATGCTTGTGTGGTCTGAAAGGGGACCGAGTAAGGTGACCTTGGTCTGCTCTGAGGATTTTTCGGCATCCATTGCCGTGGTTCTTCTCAAACACTTCTAAGATGTGGAGGTTGCGGAGGAGTTGGTCTTGTCCTTCTTCATTGTTCTTCGTAACAGCTACGGCGCACTTATACTTCTTCTCGGACCACAATTGAAGAGACATGATATTTTGATGGTATCATTACCACGAAAAATCTCATCATTGACAAAAAGATAGGAGAGGCTCTTACGCTAATTCTCAGGCTCATGAGGGACTTAGAAAGACATCAAGATCTTGTTTTTAATAGTTGATTGAATTTTCAAGACACCATCGCTTGGTAATTGAGCTAGGAGGTAGGTTTGAAAAGAAGTCGCGCCAAGAAGCATGGACGACATGGCTCACGAGGACCCTCTCTTCTAACAAGGACTCTCCCGAGCGCAAGGGGTGTGAGAATAAATGCGTTTAAGGCCGGTTTCCCTGAATCAACTTCCGATAACGGGACATCTTAATTCAACCATCTGTGTCTAGTACTCCAGTGGGCTCGAAATCGTAAACCTCAGTCTCTTTTACGTTAATCTTATTTCTGATGAAAGTGCGGTGCGTCGGTAGATAAATTCTGACTTTGTAAGACCATGGTGTCCCTCTGTCGTAATATCTAGTCCATGGTCCATTTGTAGCGGACCTCCTTCCCTTCCTCTATAAGGAGGGAGGAAGGCGTGCCGCACCCATATCCTATCTGCCCCCCCTTTCCTAATTGGGAGAAATGTCTGGTAGTCGGCCAGAGTAGATACTCGCTTAATTTAGTTCCTCTAGCTTGTTTGCGTGATTTCAACGTGATCGGGTTCGCCTATAACACCGCATTACTAATCCTTGTCTGCACTAGGATCTATTACTTGAGAATAGTAGGTATAAACTAGTCATTCTGTGCATTATCTCTAGAGTTCGAATCACGACATAGTTATGTAGATATCGTTTGGTAGTTCATCCGCGCTGAGCTCATTGGAACGACTGATTGCGACATTGACTTCCTTTCTCGAAGACCCTAGGCTTTCCCACTTGGAATATTACGGCTCACGGTAAGCCTCGTCGATGGAGTGAGGCCATACAATGAGAGAGTTGAATAGCTTCCGAAGCAGCCGATCTCTTTTGATATATAACCGGCCTGGAAGAGCCACCCACGTCCTTCCATCTGCTTTCATCAACCCCAAGTCCAAGATGTCGGCAATAGTGACCAAAAGTGGCTCTACCCAGTTCCCCAGGCCACTGGTAAAGCATCTTCCGCAATATAACTACAGCAACCTCAATCCTTATGTACACCCACCCGAAACAAAGGAGAATCTACCGTGGTCGGAGCTGGTAACTCTCGATCTACGAGATATCGACCGACCGGGTGGTAAAGATCGCCTAGCGAAACAGCTCGAGCACGCTGTCCACTACGTTGGATTCTTCTACGTTAAGAACTTTGGCTTGTCACAGGAACAGATCAACAAGCAATTCACCCTTGCGAAGAATTTCTTCGAGCTTCCTGTTGAGGAGAAGGAAAAGTTTGAGCTCAAGTACGCGGAAGCCGACTACAATGGTTGGCGGCGCCCGGGCCGGTCACTAGAGGCTAAGGTGTTTGATAACGTTGAGCTCTTCAACATCCCTAAATTCATCGACGAGTTTAGAGGCAAGTATAACTATCCAGATCTACTACAAGCGCATATGGAGGAAATCGAGCTGTTCCAACGTACTTTACACTCGAACGTGGTCATTCCGCTTCTGCGGTTATTCGCAATCATCCTACGACTTCCGGACGAAGATTATCTAGTCAAGCAGCATTCCTACAATGACAAGAGCGAAGATCACTTACGCTACATGATATACTACCCGAGAACGGATGAGGAATGGGAGGTCAGGAACTTCGGCAAGGAGGGTGGTCACACCGATCTGGGAACAATAACGCTACTCTTTCGACAGCCTATTGCTGGTCTCCAGATCCTGGGTGAAGATAATAACTGGACCTGGGTCTCTGCCCAGCCTGGAACCATTACGGTTAACCTGGCCGACACTATCTCGCACCTTACTGGAGGGTGGCTAAAGAGCTCAGTACACCGCGTGGTCGCGCCACCTAAAGACCAACGTCATTATAAACGCACCGGCATACTATATTTTGTCCGCCCATCCAACGATACTATCCTATACCCAATTATGGACTCGCCAGTACTACAGGATGCTGGCGTTAAACCTCGCTTCGATAAACCCGTTACGGTCGAGCAATGGGTGAAGGCAAAGCAGACACTACAGCTCAATCCAGAGATTGCGGCTAAGAAGTGGGCAGAAGGAGACAATAGTACAGTCGAGGTCCTTGCCGGGTTTAAAGACCAGAGATATAAGGCATAGGATCTTGGTATGCTGAAAGAGCTAAAGACGATGGACCTCAATATACGACTGTAAAGGATCTATTCTACTCTCTACTTCCTATCGTATCAAAACCCCTCCCGGTGAAAGATCCAAAGTAATGAGAATCGCCCCCTTTGGTACCACGCTGCCGAGAACCTTGTAACAGCACAGGCTTTTTGAGGGGTCCTTACTCCTCTACGCCTTCAGGTCCACTTCATCTTCTAATGAGCAGGGGACTTCCGGAACAGCGAAAGATCGTGCTCTTCCGCCCACGTTGCGAATCCCGGAATAGCGCTGGTTTGGCGATGAGTGGTATATTGACTCTCCCGCACTGTCATGGGTAGTTATGTAGCGCTTGTATCAGACCAGTTACCTAACTGGAGGGTGAATGTGTGTACTATGGGATCGGTAATGGTAGAATAACTAGCCTATAGATAGAGATGTCAACGCTTGAAGAAGACTTCAAGGTTGACAGGTATGATCCCTCCTACTGTATACATGCGATAAGCCAGCGGCTTAGCTGTCAGCCTGACTCCTTGGCTGGTGGCCTGAGCTGAGTGTGCAGTGTCACATGTGTGTTCGTGACAGCTTGTTTGGTGGCAGATCGGTAGGACTCGCAGTCCACGCGCCTGGACCCTACATTATGAAGTTCAGCCAAGCTGTCTTGAAGATGAATTCTCTACCTTTCCCAGAGTGCTATTTTACCCAGGCACACACATCAGATGATGAAACTACAAGCCGCTAAGCGACTAACGGAGAGTTGTACGATACACATGTAAGTTGAATGAATTGATTGATTAGGTAAGGAAATCTATCTAGCGCGTTTTACAGTTTTATTATGTACCGCGGTGGAAATTATTCGGCTAACCTTCCCAATAGGGTTAGGGCAATAACACACCCCACAATTAAAGTAGTTGTACCCCACGGGTCGCTCCCCGTTCCCCGGTAGTAAACTTGGCATACTATTCAGCACTGAGTACGACTATAAGGGACACGGAGCCTTCCGTGAAATCCAGACTTGACCTGTTCCATGATCAACCATATTGAAGTATCAGTGTTAGGTCTTGGTAATGGACCTATGGATCTATTTAGTTAGGCTATATCAATAGGATATTCCACACCCCGGTCCTACTCAGACAGGAGCCGTCGTGACAAAGAACTCCCTAGGCAATTGAAGCGGCGCGCGGCGCGCGCTTGATCTTGAAATCTAAAAGTACGAACTTGACACGGCAACTTACATTGGGCGCCTGTTCATTCTTGCAAGTCTTAACTGTATTTTATTCATTCTGAATATTCTCCTGCGGGCGATATCTCCTGACGAAAGACTCCACTGGAGCATGAATCGACTCGGGCTGTTGTACGAATCAGAACTCAATGACGACGCGAAAAGGTTGGCCAACAAATTTGACTTGTTCGATAATTCGAGGCATGGAAAGTACGTGTTTGCCTATTGATAATACACAAAGTCACTCAACATATTTGCCAGAAAATCCATTCGACCAGTGGATGGCCGCTTTATTGGACCATTTGGTGTCCAGCTGCATGCGTCCATCCTTGGTGAACACCTGATAGAAGTGGCCAATAGCCTTGCATAGCTTCCCGGGACTGGATTTCAAAAATCGCGAAGATTGCAGTCGTGACCACTGGTGTCAAGTTCAATGCTGCCTTTGAGCTCCTTGCACACACCAGACACGCTACGCGCCGGTGTACACAGGCAGAAATTGATGCGATACTACGAGGGGAGAGGCCAGATACTTTCGATGACCATGCTAAGGCTGCCTACGATGTTGCACATGAGTTGGCGAACACGCCAATTCCATTATCCGAGGAGAAATGGGCTCGCGCGGTTGAGCTCTTTGGGAAAGAAGGTGCCACCGCCCTCATCCATTTCGTGGTCTTCGACTCTAGTGTATGTGTAGTACTGAACGGCTTTTACTGCAAGATCCCCAACGGGGAAGCTTGAGATTTTGGTAGTTTGATATAGTAACAATCACTGGCTTTCCTGGCATAGAACCACTTTCACTGGGAAGAGAGCATCATGTATTTTAGACAAACTCTACAGAAGAATACCTGGCACAAATTTCAACGCCATTCTTATTCCTCGTCGGGATGTGCTCAATTCTTGGAGTAAACTAGGCATTCCCTGGTCAGCCTGGCTAGGTCTACACCTCTTGAACTTGCGAGACAATTAGTACAAGGTTGAAGTAATTCCATGTCAAGACTGGTCTGTTGCGCGTCTGCATCCAGCGAGAGAGTTTCAATTCTGAACATAAAACGCCGGGTCGACCTGTTCACCTCTCGCCGCAACGTTTGCAGCATGCTCCTCCAGCTCGGTGAAACCATTGTCCAGGACTCCCCGCCAGCGATTGCCGTTGTTATAGCGAATGTTTAAGTCTTCATCCCTCAGTTCTGCAATCATGAGTTCGCGATACAATAGCGCACTTCTGGGCTAGGTAGCAGTTACCCGTCCATCTATGCGATGGTTCCTGTACCAACTTCGACATCCGCCTGTCCAGGTTAACCCTTTATGGATCTCATCTCCGTAACGGACGAACTCGTCGGTTGCGTCCTGACTAGGTGCCACAGACTTGTTGTCGTCGGAAGCCATTCTCTTCAGCCACCGGAGAACATAGTCGGCTGTCCATGAAATCGAAAGGAGAAGTGTGCCGTGACTGACAGTCGTGTTAGTGCCAGTGAAGATGAAGTAATTCGACATGCCAGGACAGGCAAGGCTGAGATATGACTCTGGCTCTTCAGCCCATTTGGATGCGAGTGTAACATTATTGCGGCCCGTAACAGGGTACCGTGGAATGTAGGAGACATCAAAGCCAGTCGCACAAACAATGACGTCGAGCAAGTAGAAGGCTGCTCCTGTTTGAATACCTGAGGGCGTAATATTGATAATGGGATTTGTTTCCAGTGTCACGTTGGGACGAAGGATTCGAGGTATCCCTCCCCAGGTGTAACGCGCCGGCAATCAAATTCCCAGGTCGGAATAAGTTTCGAGCAGAGCTCTTCATAATTCTGCATTATCGATCTCATACGTTCAACAGATACTTCTTGGGCTTTCGTGTTTTGGATCGAGCCCTTCTTAGCTATCGTCATTATTGATTAGCATGGATAGCTCCAAAGGGGGAACGCATGTAGCAGGCATCGAGGACATATGAATCTGTACCCTTGTTCATCCCTTGCGGCAGCATCTTACGATACTGGCGATACTTCTCTTTGTCCGTTGCAAAGAATCGTCTGACTTGCCTTGGATACCTTGGGTTTAAAGGTACTGTCAGCGTCTCCATCATCGTCTTCCATTTCCTCCGTGCTATTATGTCCACTCGCGTTCTCCATGTTTGTTTCCACGGTATTGACTCCCAGTTCTCCGGCGTTCACGCCGAGGATCTCGCCTATTGATGATGTGATGTAAGTTGGGCCGCTCTGGAAGCTCACAACTGTTGTGCCTTCCAATTTGACCATTTCTGGCAGGAACTGGATGCTTGATGACCCGTTACCAATGATTCCAATGCGTTTGTAGCTGTAATCGTAGGTATTGTCCCATGAGGCGGAGTGGACCTTATGTCCCTCGAATTCGTGGATTCCTGGGATCGACGAACAGTCCCATTGACTACGAAGTGATTGCTAGAATCACAACAGTCCGAGGCATCAGCTGCCACTGACTCACGAGCCTAGCACTCACTGATTCTTGTCAAGAATGGACATACCTTGATAGACCCTTGGCAGAGAGAACAACGTCAAAGAGCTCTACTCTTTCCTCTTCGCCATTTTTTTTGAACCCGAACTTTCCACTTGGATTGATCTTCCTGCCAGTCCAAGCCCACTACGCATGTGTTGAATTGGATATCACGGCGTAGCTCCCATTTCGTTTCTCTCCGTCTGATGTACTCGTAGATCTCGTTGCCGCTGGTGTAGAACCTCGACCAGTTTAGATTTGGTTCGATTGAGAATGCCTTGGTGTCACAGTAGTGTTAGAGCTGTACAACAACAGCCTTTGGTGAAGATACAGCCAAAATGACACCGGAGTACGGGATACTAACATACATGTGTGCTGGTACGTCACATTGAACACCAGGATAAGTCATTTGCTTCAAAGATGGTGTGGTCGATGAAATCCTGCATTTCCTTGTGTTTACGTTGAAGCTTGTGCACGAATATCAGCCCCGAAAAGCCAGTACCAATGGTAGCAACTCGGAGGGTACGTTTGTGATATGCACGTCTTTCAAAGACAGGAACACATACCTGCTTGAGCCGCTCTGGGGATACCATGATGACAAGGCCAATGGAACAGACTCGGTAAATTCTTTTCTTCAAGTTTTGCCTCACACTTGGATTTCAGCGATAAGCCATGAGGTGAGATATGAGAAGTATCATATAAGGAATGGAGGGAATAGTTGGAGTGCACAGCAATCATTTCGTCCTCAGGTGATACCTCCTCAACCGCCAGAGAATGAACAATGAACATGCTCGGGTCCGAAAGTCCTCCCGGTACCGAACTTACTTCTTTCCGGCTCAACGACACTGAATGTTGACGGCGTGTCAATTCTCCATCTGGGAGGAATGCGTTGGAGAGAAACTGGAGCCCCAAGGTCCTCATATCAACGGTTCTTACCGTTCCATGTGGCGGATGCTTCGGGTTGGCCAGGAGGGATATACGGGCGAGTCGTGGTAATTATGGGCTTCCGAGGCCCTAATACTCTATTGCGGGGAAATGCCGAATGCTAGTGTCTAGCCCCACACTATAGATATCGCCGCTATGATTAGCTGATAGGGACCCACTACTCTTACTTGGGGGATTTGGTCGATATGTTTAAATAACGTCAAATACTCCTGATACTTGGTTGATAATAAAATCACCAGCCATCAGGGCTTGATATCCTACTACCGAGACCCTTGGAATATGTAAGAGTTGCCCTTCCGATACATCATTTTATCCCCTGTCGTGGTTTGGGTGTCTCCAGCGGGCAAATTGGTTGAGTTTATGTGATTACATTGACAATGGAGGCATTTCTGCACCCAGCAGCCCATGGTCGGTTTCGAGAATGACCAGTCGACAGCCTGGCCAATTATCCGAGATGGGAGAAAGCATGCTCTCCTGCTCACTACCATCAACATCTTCAAACACCACGCTTTCGCTTGCCCACTCCCATTGTAATCGACGTCATCCTCCCGGGCCCTCCTCCGCTGTTAACACTTGACGCAGACTCATCGGTATCGCGCCCCCACGTGTGGAGCAAAATCAGGCCCGGTCGATGGGAAAATAAGCAACTGGTCCAGACCGCGAGAAGGCAGCTCCCATCAAGCGGAGATATGTTTCCTGGAATACCCGTCACGTTACCCTCGTGATGCGAGTTGTTGATGCTGCTAAAGGACAAAGCTAGGTCAACTGGGATACACACGAGTCGTGGCATCGACGCCTGCCGAGGATAATGCAGAATAGTGGCTGCACCTAGTCCGAAAGTGGATAGTATGCAGCCTCGTCATGGCCGTGGCATGATTCAGAGCGTCACTTCATGGGCATCTCAACTCATAATTCGATGTTGAGATTGTCCCACGGGGAATGTGTCCCACGGAGAACATATGGACATTGAATTCTGATCAATATATATATATATAGAGAGAGAGAGAGAGAGAGAGAGAGAGCAAGTGACTCCAGAGTCTTCTCATGGGCATTCACAGCTTCACCAAACCATGCATATCAAGAACCCCGCCCTTCTACGAGGTCGTCGCGGACGGCAGATGGCTACAGACGCAGACGGACAGTCCACAAATGACACCGATCACAAGGCCACTATGGATAGCAAGCATGAGAGAATCAAGCTGGAGACTGGAGTTCAGCATTTTGAGTCTGCTACGGACACATCGGATACACCGGGAAGGGTAACAGGGCGCGTTGTTTTAGCCATTGCTGTAAGGCCAGGATTCCATTTCTCTAACATCTCAGCCGCGATATACTGACCAGCATTATCCAGGCCCTTGGGTTGCCATATGAGGCCGCTCTGTTCTCTTTCGTCGTACCTGCAGCTGTCCTCTTGACCATCAATGCAGACATTGGCCCGTTAGCCAGTCTGAGTTGGGTTGCTAGTAGCTGGTCATTGGCAAACAGGGTTCTGCAGGCGACTTTTGGTCGCGGGGCAGATATCTTCGGCCTGCGATACTTTCTTATCTGTGACAATATTTTTGGACTTGTTGGTAGGTTGCAACTTATTGTTGATGCTACGACTTGAAACAAGAGCACTGACCCGTGCACAGGAACTTTAGTCAACGGACGGTATGTCACACCCGCTCGTGCACTTCAATGGCTGAACCCGCGTATAGTGCCAACTCAATCCGAGCTGTGACTGCAGGCACCGCTATCCAGGTTCGTTCCATGTGCTCTTCCTTCTCTCTAGCCTAAGCTCATCTAAGCGCAGGGGATCGGTGCTGCCCTTCAATAAGTTGCATATATGTCCGCCTTTGATATTGTCCCAAAGAAACATCGAGGGGCAACTCTGTCTGCACTCAATCTTGCTGCTCTCCTGCTTCAATGTTTGAAGCTATTATCGGTAGGTGCGAAGGATTGGATGGAGGCGCCTGAAGCTGACTACATGGGTGCCTAGCCTTTTCTGTGGTCAAAACATTGAGCTGGCGTTACAAATACTATTTTGGCACCATGATCAATGGGATAGCCCAGATCATGGTTATCGTATTTTACCGGCCCCCAGGATGGGTTGAACTGCATCCAGATGGCAAATCACGCACCCGACAATTGAAAGACCCGGACTATGTTGGCGTACTTCTGATGGCCGGTGGTTTGATTTCTTTCTTGCTGGGCGTCTTATGGGGGGGAAACCCTTACTCCTGGACCAGCGTAACCGTCGTCGTCCCACTACTAGTCGGAGGTATCGTTCTTCACTCCATATCGCCGTATGAGACATCTAACGCCTTGACAGGACTGACTATGGCGATCCTTCTACATCTTTGGGAGTTCTACTCCCCGGCTGATATGAACAGACTGTTTTCCGGGAAATTGATCACAAATGTCAGATCGGTCATCCTACCGCTCTTCATCACCTTTGCTTCCGGTCTTGCGGTAGGTGCTCTTCACACTTTCACATACAAATGGCATTTAGAGCAGCACTGATATTTGTTAGCAGCTCTATGGGCTCCAGGTTTACTGGCCTCAATGTCTGCACCCAACTCTTCGCGTCGGAGACATTCTGACATGCAGATAGTGATTCAAACCCTGTTTACCACAGAACCTGATCGGGCTGGCTGGCTCAGCTTTGTACTCAATGCTGCCGGGACTAGTGAGTATCCCCAGACGAGCAAATCTTTTCATGTGTCGCCATTGACATTCTCCTACAGTCGGAATTATGACACCGGGAATTTTCTTTGGTATCCTAAAGCGCACGCTACTCCAACTGGTCGCATATACTACGCTACAAACTGTTTTCCCGGCAGCGATGTCAACCATCATTCAGCACTCGCTTGCGCGGACGGTAGTTCTGGCTATATTCACTGGTTGGGCCCTCAGCTCGACCATGATCGTCAGTGTCTTGTTTGTCCAGTACGGAGTGGGCGACGATCGCCTTCGTATCTCGAACGGGTAAGTTCATTTCCGGCATTTGGTGACAGTCCTGAGAGGACATCGAACATGACGAGAAAACAGGCTGCACGGAACCATTGTGAACTCCGGAGCCGCCATTGGGTTCGCGATCTACGGGAGTATTGTCAACAACAAGGTCAAATATACCATGGGGCCAACCATGGCCACGGCTTTGGTCGGTGCGGGATTACCAGCCAATTCAGTCGAACCGTTTCTTGGTGAGTAAACCTGTCGGAATTAAGGCTTTGAGGTAAGATTAACCAAGGTGCAAAGGCGCTTTCCTGACAGGAAACTCCAACGTTCTCGCTGGAATCGATGGGGTGACACCAACCGTCCTGGCAGCCGCAACAAGCGCAGCTCGAGATGTGTACACCCAGGCATACCGAATCCTCTTCCTTGTCACCACAGCCTTTACTGGTAAGTCCACAAAGAAACTCGAAAGCTTCTAGTACTAATGCTGTCTAGGTGCTGCCTTTATTGGTAGCCTTTTTGTCCCAAGTGTAGATATTCACTTGACTCAGTAAGCTACCAACACACATCTGAAGTCTACGGCTAACACACATAGACATACTGCTATCCAACTCGATAAGCCCTACGTCATTTGATATGGTGAAGGTGAAGCAAAGGTTCTCACAGAAGAAAATGCCCAGGAGATACTCAGGGAGTGGGCGACCGTGATATTGTCACGCTAGGCAAAGACATACTACCTTTGAAAAATACCGTGTGAACTTGCGCCAACCTGGAGATAAGTGATATTCCCTTCCAGGAACTGCTCACGGAAAGAAGATATAACATATATACCCTAGTGTCACAAAACACTCCATTTTATTCTTTCACGATTCCCCTGATCATTTGTTAACCCATCAGCTCTGTGAACTGAGACTTCCGATTCTGTAGAGCAAGAAGCCTCTCTGGGGACATGTTCCCTCTTGACGACCATAAGCTTTCTAGATTATCTTGACATTGGAGAACCTGTAGTCGAGTCGTCCACGTATATCAATATTCAGAAATGAAAATATACATTCCAAACACGTAGACTCTCCCGTGACCTTTGCTGGAACTTCAATATTTTTGAAGAGACATGGAGGGGTCCGCCACCCGAGGAATCTCCATGCATCTCCCTGCTACACGCAATGCTCCTACCCACTTCGCCTCTGCTTCCTTTGGTTTCCCCAACAGCAGCCTCTGATCGACCCAGCTAGCCTGTGGCTGGGCTCTCCGAGCTCCGGACTGTGTAAAAGCTGTAAGCTACGCATTTAACTCAAGATTCTCTGGGCTCGGCTTCTCATTCCGACTTCCTGGGTCTCTCGTTCCCCGGATTCTCCAGCTTCCCAAGCATGCTATAGTCTCGGGGCCCCGGGGGGTTTCCGCTCTCCATGGCGGGCCCCGGTCTCCCGTGAATCGTCGGCCCGCCAGCTCACTGTTCTCTATCATTTCGCTGTCGCAGGTTCAATCTCGTCGCTCGGGGTATCATCGAACAGACCATCGGTCTTCTTGCCTGAGAGAGTGTCACCCTCTCATCGCTGAGCACGCCGTATCCGACAACCTTTCCAGTTCCTCGGGGACTCCGGTTACCTGCGTGCACAGCACGACTCGTGGTAGCTCATCCCGGAAGCAAACACAGCCGGACCTTCAGGGGTGCCGAGTTGGACATGTCATTTTGCATACTTAGTCTACAAGGATTCCCTCGACGGTGAGCGAAATGTCCAGCCTTGGAACCAAGCATCAACAACCACAATCATCCGGTTTACTTCTTCCAACATGGCAGATAAGACTCTAGTTCCAGCCTCGGAGATTAAACACGTACATTCTGAGATTGATGTTCCCCTTCGGCTCGAGAAGAATCATGTCGAAGAAGATTGGACCGCCGAAGAAGACCGGAAACTAGTGTAAGTGACAAAGAAATCATGAAACACGATTTAACTGTATAATTAATTGGGTGAACCAAGCTCAGGATTGACTTGCGCATCCTGCCGTATCTCTCGGTGATCTTTGGCTTGTCTCTGCTTGATCTGATCAATGTTTCGGCCGCATATATTGCAGGCATGAGCACTGATATCGAACTCTCTGTTGGTGAGGACATGGAAATGGAGCTCACATGAGCTTAGTAGCCCTAGAAGACTAACACGGACTCAAGGTGCTCGGTACTCGATGAGTCTATTGTTCTTCTTTATCACCTATGTCTTGCTTGAGATCACCAGTAATTTGGTAAGTTAAAGACCCCCCCCCCCTTCCCGAATTGTTTATACCGTGTCTGATGACCTAGGATGTATGGATAGATTATTCGACGAGTCGGCGCCAGATGGTGGCTGAGCTTCCCGATCACTGCCTGGGGTATCTGCGTCATATGCATGGGGTTTATACAAAGCTGGGTCCCATTGGTCGTCCTCCGCGTTCTCTTGAGAGCGCTCGAGGCCGGTTGTGAGTTGATGGCTTCCGATACCGATTACATGGCCCGGCTAATACGGTCTTGACAGTGCTTCCGGGGGCGGTCTTCCTGATCTCTGCATGGTACAAGACTTATGAAACGGCACGAAGAGTGTCATGGTTTTATATGGCCTCGCTGATGGCTTCTGGGTTCAATGGTATTGTGCGTTCATTCCTAGCATCCCTGACCCAGGGTTCGTCATGGCCCACAAATGGTCAGATTACATATGGCCTGTCGCTGATCAGGTCTGGAAGTAGCACCTATCGGCAAGGGTGGGGATGGATACTCTTGATCGAAGGCGCCATTACAATATTTTGCGACTTGACAGGTCCCATCTGTCTCGGAGAATGTCAGGCTTCTCCACAAGTGGGCGATTTGGACCGTCCTGTGCTGACTCTCTATTGGCAGTTCCGGAACACAGCAAATGGCTCAACGAGCGGGAGAGGTATATCGCCACCATCCGACTTGCCAACGAGCGCTCGGGCAGAGAGTACGAGCATCCAACCCTCAGGCAAGGCTTGAGACTCCTTATGGACTGGAAAGTTGCTTTCTAGTAAGTTCGCCGTCCTCGAGTCTACCATTGTGTGCGATCTTGGGTTGTTGACAGAGATCAAGCTGCCTCCAGGCCTACCTGGGCGCGTGCAGTGTGTATGCATTGGGCTACTACATGCCAATAATTCTTCGTCAGGGATTGGGATTCAGCTACGCCTTGGCCCAGATCTTGTCGAGTCCGCCATATGTATGTTGACCCCGTAAGCGTCGTTACACCGTCTACTCCGACCCAGATCAGCTCATAACATGGCGTTTCTGATTAGATCCTGACTGTTTTTCTCTCCCTTCTGACATATTGGTTGTCGGACAAGACGAAACTACGTTGGCCGTAAGTGGACATCCATTTCTTCCCTGAAAGACTTTGCTGACACCCAACGATTTGAAGGTTTCTATGCTTCCACGCTTTGGTTGGGTAAGTTGCGCTGGTCGTTGGTTCTGGAATTGCCCTAATTTCCGCTATATAATTCTCCACTGCACAAAAGCTAACAGAAGACACCATTGCTAGACTTGTTGGGCTCGTCATCGTCCTCTACGCTAAGCCACCCGGGGTGCGCCTCTTTGGGGTTTTCCTGGCGATATTTGGCACCAACGCCAATGTGCCAGGAAATTTGACTTATGGGCAAGGCCAGACCGCTCTACCACACAAGAAAGGTCTGGTAGCGGCGGCTCAGGTCGGGTTTGGTTCTATTGGGGGAATTACCGACTCAACCATCTTCAGATCGCAGGATGCGCCACAGTACTTCCCTGGGATGTGGGCGACCATCAGCTTTCAGATACTATACATTGTCATGACGTGTGGCATGAGCTTGTGGTTGACGAAGAGAAACCGTGACGCGGATGAAAAGGGGGAGATCCTCGAAAAAGTGGAAGGATTTAGGTATGCGCCATGAGGAAGAGGCTGGTTGGGGCGATATCAGAACTAATGTATTCGCCGCCGCAGCAGGAACCCAGGTGTCGGTGCGCGTTACAAGTACAAGTATACTTATAGTATCTATGGATAGGATAATGACCCAGACAATCTACATATTTGTTCATACAGAAAACCGATGGCTTCGCAAACGGCGAATTTCCTCAGACCGCCACGGGGCCCCAGATTGCGGCCATCATATTCCGAAAGTCCAAGAGCAGCGGAGAATAATGACCGGGGGTTTGCCACCCAGTGGTGCTCCTTTCCTCTCCTCCGCTGGGGTTTTCAGTGGGGTTTACGGTGCCGATCTAATTGGAAGGGCTTCTAACGAAAGGGGGTTTTCCCACTCGGATGGAGGATACGATAGTTGACGGGGTTTTTTCAGTTCTCCCACCGGAACTTGGAGAACGAGACTAAGGCAAGAGGCTAGAGCAGAGTAACTCTCAAGCTAATCAACCCCAGATTCCCAGCTTCCTCCTTCTCCTCGTCCCATGGGGTTATTTCGGTTTGTCCCGGACCACATGCACCCCGCATTATCTGGCCAGGAATCCTTCCGCAAAGTGGCGGCAAATTACACCTGGAATCTAGAGCCTGACACCAGTTGGTTCAAACCTCCCAGAAATGGTTTCCACTCTCCCGGGCGCACGTTGTTACCCACATGTACCCAAAAGTTTGGGGAAATGCCACTAAAGGAGCTGACATGGCATCTTAGCAAGGCTGTATCCACACTGTCTCCTCCGGTCATTGGAGCGAAGATCATGAAGCGAGATGGCTAAGTTGAGGCCCCCATGGCCTCGTCGCTTGAGCATTGCTTGGTTTTTGGAGTACTCCTGAGTCTCGATCCTGGTTCTTAACCGAGACCCGAGGGTAGGGGCAAACTATTGCGTGGGGGAAAACAAGAGTGAAGATACAAGTATATCAGGGGATGCGTTGACTCCTCCACCGCTGACCGCGACTCTTCTCCCCTTGTAATCCGACCTATTGTCCCAGAGTACCGTCAAACACCGACTGAGAGTGACCGACTGACCACCATGATCTCCCTCGTACAATTTGGGGTACAGAGCGAGCTCCTCTCACAATGGAGCACAAGCAGCTGACACACTCAACAGATTGTTTTATTCGTCGGCCTGGGGAGTATCACCTATGGCTACGGATCCAGCATCATTGCTACCACCACTGGACAACCCACCTTTATTTCCTACTTTGAGCTTGATACCAGATCCAACGCAGATGATCTTTTGGGGGCCATAAATGGTCTCTTCTCCGTGGGAGGCTTGTTTGGCTGCATCTCGTGCTTCTGGATTCCCGACAAATGGGGTCGCAAAAAGGCAATCATGTTTGCGTCTTTTACATCCATTGTTGGGAACGGCCTCGCCGCGGGGAGTGTGCACATCGCCATGTTTATCGTTGCCAGGCTCATCACCGGCTTCTCCGTAGGAGCCCTGGTGAGTCTTGTTCCACTATACCAGAGCGAGATCTCCCCACCAAAGATCCGCGGTCTGCTTGTGGGCATGCACGGTACAGGCATCGCCACCGGCTATGTTGCTGCTAGCTGGATCGGCCTGGGTTTCTACTTTGTCAAAGCAAGTGGCACTCAATGGAGAATGCCCTTGGCAATTGGGGCGTTGTGGCCTCTCCTGCTTGCTGGCGGTGTGCTATTGATCCCAGAGTCTCCACGTTGGTGTAAGTTGCCTCGACAGAAATCAAAACCAAGTTTCTCCTCGATACTGACGATACAAAAGTGTTGACCAAGGACCGTCCCGAGGATGCTCTCAAGGCGTTCAAGGCTTGCCGCACCGAGTCCGGGCCTCGCAATGACGAGCACGCTATTACCGAGGAATTCCATCTGTTGCATTCTCAGGTCATCGAGGAGTTGAAGGACCATGTGCCATTAAAGGAGTTCTTCACCAGGCCAGCCCTCCGCAAGAGGTCCTGGATCGGCTGGTTGACCATGGTGGCGGGTCAATGTACCGGAACCATTGTCATCAACAGTGAGCAAGACTTCTCATTATGATCCATACTTCTATATTGACACGCGTGGGCAGACTACGGACCTTTCCTCTACAGAAATCTTGGCTTCACCGTCGTCAACCAGCTTTTAATCCAGTGTGGCTGGATTACCGTGTGCCTTCTCGGCAATGCCTTCAACGCTGCTGTCATTGATTACTTTGGAAGAGTTCGGATGCTCGGTGGGTATTCCTGCTCCGGAATCCTTCCATTTGGCTGACCATACCTAGTTTTTGGGCTCGCTGGAGATGTGATTGCCCTTGCTGGCGAGTGTGCTACGGTTGCTGTCTATCAACGAACGGGCTCAGAGGCAGCCGCCAAAGCAGCCGTGTTCTTCCTCTTCCTCCATATTGGATTCTATGGCTGGACGATTGACGCCAGCACGTACATCTATGCCACCGAGATCTTCCCCAACCCTCTACGGGCGCGCGGTATCGGAATTTCTTGTGCCGGTCTCTTCATGGCTATCATTGTCTTCACTAGGTAAGCTTCGGAGTCGAATTGACTGATGCCAGCCTGGCTAACTTGGGTCGCCCAGTGCCGCACCCACCGCATTCAACACTATTGGATGGAAATACTATCTTGTCTTCACCATTCTCACCGCCATCAACACCGTTGTCATCTTCCTCTTCTTCCCAGAGGTACTTTTCTCCCAATCTCGTAACCATCAGAGAAGCTCGCTAACTTTGACCTAGACCAAGGGTATGGCTCTCGAGGATGTTGCCGAAATCTTCGGAGACGGTATCGTCCTCACAGACACCCGCGAAGAACAGATTCATCAGCGCTTCAAGCAATCTCACTATCGTACTGAAGTCCTCGACGAGGTGACCCGCGACGAGCCGATCCAATTGGACATGAAAGAAGGCTCAACAAAGGTCGAACATATACCATGAAAAGCCAGAACAACTAGGTCAAACGCAAGGCGGCATGTTCAAAATGGTGAATAATTCCTGAATGTTCTCTTGGAAAGAGTGTATATCACAAACCACCCCAGATGTGTCTGTCGCAGCAAACAAGGGTCTATGCTACTAGGATTTTCAAATAGTGGGAATGATAGAAGCACGGATGAGGAGAAAGAGATATAACATCGTCAATATTCAGCAGGGGCAGCTGTAAAGCAAATACCCACACGGGTTTACACAGTGGATGAGTGCATAGCCATTGCCAACGCTTTCCCGAAGCTCTGGGTATATGAGATATGTTTTTCGACTCCGCTGTATTCTCCTATCTCCTTTGATATTGGTATCCGGGTGTGATTCATGCATCATCCAAGGCGCTTGGTTCGTGGAAGAGATATTCCGCCGGACCAACCTTTCACACCAACCACGTTCTCAAAGTATTGGCCACCACACTATAGACGAGAACCTCTGGTCTTCTTAATTATTGCTTGTTGAGTGACGGCGACGCCACGAATCCTGACCGCCATTGCTAATAATTCCTTCTCGACGTGTTGATGGTGGCCAACAACAAAACATGGGAGAGACTTAAGCGAGCCGCCACGCATAGAATCAGATTTGCCGGTATGTTCGAGGTACCTCGAATGTACCACGGTAAGCCGGTAGTATTTTCAACGTGACCATGGTCCTATTGGCTGTGTCTCTCCGGCTTCCACATGCCAACTTGTCTGCAGTACCTGTCTACCGAATAGCTCCCATGTCAGTCGTACCCAAGCAACCGTTGTTATCGTTACATCGATCCTACGGGAGCGGTGCGACTTGTCCATCTTTGTCGCCATCCTTTGGAGCCTTTTTCCATGGATGTATCATAGAAAAGTCGGAAATCCATGAGAGAAACGCTCTGCTCCAGATCAAAGATATTGAGCTTTTGCGCATCAAGAAATCATCAAATCGTCCCCAAGATTCCGCAATTTATCAGAACTATTGGACAAGAATTTACTCCAAGGCTTACAGTGAGCCGGTCACTCTGACTAGCAACTTCTACAGCCGCCATGAGATGCCAGTTTCTCTCACTTTACCCAGGTACCTTATTGCGGATCTTCTGGGCTTTTCTACCAGATTTCACTGACACATTCCAAGATTCCATGTCTTGGAACGATAACCAACTATCCTTATTACACAACCGGGATTTGACCGCCGTCTCAGTTACACGGGCAGCTTGCCAATTTTTTGTCTCGGTCTTTGCCAGCCACCGTGAGCAGCGACAGAACCAAGTCTATCCTGAGCTCCCCAGGCCATCAGGCATCACTAGGTTCTACGGTGGCAAGGCAGAGACACAAAATATTGAGACAATCAATTTCATGAAAGACCGGTCCAAGACACAAAGCTCAATGAAGTGGGCAGCAAGACTCAACTGATCTCGTTTGTTGTACATACCCTGGCTTGCCTGACTCTCACCCGGAATCCCGCATCTGCCAGCTATTGTCCATCTGCATGCTTCTATTCGCACCCATCACCTTGTTACCGTTCGATTCTGGAGGCAATCATTTCCGCTTCTCTTCATCTTGGAAGTCCAGCTGAGCAGGGTTCTGAGATTTTACGGATCAGCAGGCTGTTAGAGACCAGAACCCTGCTTCTCGACCTGCTCTCACAGCTGCGGGGATTCTCTCGTAATGGTGAAGGCCTGCCAGCGTCGTGCTGCACCTGAACCTATTTTGGGTTACGAGGCAGAAGCAGGTGTCCGTCTAGATCAGCACTTTCTCTCCCTTCGAGCCAAATATTGCGATGCATTTGTGACTATCGCCATACATCTGTGCGTTCTAACTATGGTCTTTTGGAGCTTCAATCAGTACTCAGAGTCTCTCTGCAGCATCTGTAGCAGCAGCAATGAAACTCTCACCGAATCCGTGATGGCATAGTCGAACAGTACACGGAAGCTCTCGACTTATGGCCAGCGCCCAGCTGAAATTGGGTATATCTCTACCTACCTGGTCATGCGGTGCGACAATGCCTGAGTACCGGCACGTTCGACGCACAGCCGCAATGACGGTATTCCTGCAGCTCTGGTGAACTGTCTTGA